TAACGTGGGCGCTTGCTCGCACGTACAAGAACAGCTACACATCATCATAAAGATGGAAAGTGCCTCTCTGCATGAGGCCTTGGATCATATTCCCAGAAGGAGGGAGTAAACAAAGAATATGGGAATTTCAGCTTTGGTGAATGCACCCAATATCATCAACTTCAGATGAGACTGATCCAACACACTCGCGCATTTATAAACCAACGAATTCACAAAGCATAGGGCCATGTTAACCTGCCGCCCCCCCCCCCCCCCACCCCCCCCAAATATGGAAACTCACAAAGGGACCCTACAGAGCGCCCCTTAACCACCGGCCCCCACGCCGTGTGGAAGGTAACGGGAGGTCGAAGTGAGAAGAAGGAGCCAAAAAAACTGCACTCGCGCCTCCTTCCAATGCGGAATCGTTGGAAACAAAAACAAGAAAATCAAGCAATCATCAAAGAACCATACGAGATCAAGACGTGTCGCCATCATCCATTCTACCCTCCCCCCCACCCCACCCCACCCCACCCATCTAGTCGCGCACCCCCTAAAGAAACTTCTGTAAAAACAAAAACGAAAAAAAAAAAATCCCCGCACTCTGGTGCTATCCCATAGGTACCAACGAGGCTCCCCCCATTTGACTTTTGTTACCCACTCACCTCTGCCTCGCCCCCCTGTTTCTCGTGCTTCCTTTCACGTATCCCTCACCTTTACATGTAATAGTGTTGTTTCACTTCTGTCTGATTTTTCTTTTCTTGCTTCACATTTTTCTCCTCAATGCGCCACAACGACACACCCTCCTCTGCCCAGAAATAAACAGTACCAGCTGTAATACAAAAAAGGAAGGGCAAAAAGACAGCGCAACAAATACCCACACGCACAGATAGAGAGATAGAGGGAAAGAAACGAATACAATGCAGTGAGATTGGGTAGAAGTCCCCAATCCCATTCTGCTACCTTCACTTATTCCGTTATTAGCAAATTAATATACACCTGCCAGACACATATGTATACATGCACAATATATAATATGTTTGCGTTTGTGTGTGCCGATACCCGTGTGAGCATCTGGACACTAATGTATGCTTCTGTGCTTTCACTCACTCTTTCCGTTTTTTTTTCCTTATTTTATTTTCCTGCTTCTTTTATGAAAGGCAGGTAGAAATTACTTCCTTGTGTGATGTTTCGCGGAGTTTCACCTGCGTGCCCTCAGTCTCATCCTTCTTTTTTTTTTTCTGCTTTTATGGTTCAACCACATCATTTTTCTTCTCTACGTGCCTCCGCTCCATTGCTCCAAGTGAGTCAACAATACCGCATAGCCAATAACGTGCAAACCAGGGGGTGCGGCAGGCCCCTGCCTCTACAAAAATCACTTGTAGTGGCTTCTCCCTCCGCACTTGTGTGCTTTCTCTCAGTGTCTGTCTGCTTTATTTTTCTTTTTCCTTTTCTCTCGTCTCTCCCTCCCTCCCTCTCTCTCTTTTGTTTCAGCTCAGTTTTGCTTGTGGTGCGCTTGGCTGACCTCGTGTCATCGTCACAACTCTGCCCGGACTTTTCTTTCTTACCTACCTTCCTCTCTTGTGTTTGCGTTGTCTATGTGAAATGGGTACTGAAGTTTAATGAAAGTAAACCAACCAACCAACAAAACACGCACACGCAGGCAAAAAACAAAAACAAAAACAAAAAAGAGTGGGCTCGTGTGGTCTCATTCAGTTCTCCACCAGCGCCATCCAGATTCTGGCGCGGAACGACTTGTAGAGGTCCCGCACGAGCTCACGAAAGTCCATGCGTTGCTGCGCCTCATAAAAGAATGTCAGTTTTTTCTTGTCAAATTGATACTCCGCATCCACGATAGTCATGGGTAGCCCACGATCGAGGACACGCTGGGAGCAGACGTCAATGGCACGTCGTTCAAGCTCCACTTGCACAGTATGAAGCTGTGCCACATCTGATTCATCTACCAACCGCAGGACAGTACCTGCGCCGAGACCAATATTGTGGGTGAGAGTGCTACCGGTGAGTCCAACGCACAAGACGACGGGTTTGCTGCTGCCGTTGCCGGAGCCACTGATGTCATTCTTCTTCAACATTGTTGTCTCGCACCAAGTGTATGTCACAAGTCCAATATCCTCCCCGCGATCACCACCCACCATGACGTAACTGCCAGGCGGAACGTACTCCTTGGACTCAAACTGCAGTACACGTTTTCGCTTAAACTCAACCAACACCTTACACGGCGCATGTACATTGATACCCAATTTTTCGGGTTCATCGGGGGCCCCATCTGGAATGGGCACAACTTGTGGCCGGCCATTGACATACGTTACCCTCAAACTCGTCGTTAGATATTGAGTTTGCAAAGTATCTGTTGCTCCCACATGAATAATATCATTCTTTTTTGTGTACGGACTTAACATCTGCTGATATTGTGATGATCTTGACTCATCATCTTGAATATTGGAGGCGCCCAAATGCGCCAACGTAGAATGCTGAAGATCATCATCATTCATTAATTTGTTGAACGCCTCAACACAGGTGGCATCTACTGAAGGATTTCTTTCCACCAGGGACAACTCATCATTGGTCCATTTATTATGTGGAGACACCGCTGGTGTGGCCTCATGGCGGCTGGGGGTCGTCAACGCTACCCAATCCGCGTGCTCACCCGCTGAAAGCAAACCGTCACTCCTCGCCCCGCGGGAATCCGGGTGTATAAGCTGCAACCGCTCACTGGGCGGTGTGGAGGGCACCGTGACACGCATCCCCACCGAACTCCCTTGATTATCGGCAACATGCCGCGTATAGACGGGTGTGGCATGATCGAGGTGTCCCAAGTTGTTTGAGGAGTTCCCCATAGCCTGACCGTCTCCGCTGTTACGTGCGATAACGGCGGATTCAATTTTGTCTAATCGTTCCTTAATCTCTCCATGCGTCAACCGAAGCAATCTCTCATGCTCCGCGAAACATTCAATCATCTCCATCCGCATCTTACGTAGCGCGGTCCATATTCTCCTCCTGATTTTTTAGTGACTGCTGCATATTGTTTTCCTTCCTCTTTCTTTCTTTTTCTTCTTCACACACACACGCACCTTTTTTTTTTTTTCTTTCTTTGTCTCCTTGTTTTCTACCTGTTTATGTATATACTCACTTCCACTTCTTTCTCTCTTCGTGCTTTTATTTACGTAAAAATCTAAACCAACCTAGGCGTCTCAACGTATTACTGCTGCCTATACGCCTGCGCGCTTCACAGAAAGGGAGCAGTAGTAGTGCAGTGTAACTCACTGGTAATGTTCCTTTCGCCACAATTAGTGCGAGCGGCCTGGGGCAAAATGAAAAGCGTTAAATTCTTAGCCGTCCCCCTCCCTTTCTAAACACAACAGACCACAGGCTTCCCACAAAGAGAAAGAGAAATGTACGCACAAAACAAAAACAAAAACAAGAAAGAACTAAGAGGGTACGAGTGGCAGTGTCATAGCCCATGCAGCCACGCAGATAGCAAAAATGACGCGAGTGTTTGCGAGACAGAGGAAAAAAAATATACAAGGAAAAAGTTTATTATACCATTTGTGATGCACTCAAGAACAAGAAAGCACACAACCAGCGGCAGAAAGAGATGCGGAATGTGTAGAAAATAAAAACGAACATGTTATGTCCTATAGCTGTCATAAATATTACAAAACAGTTCTCCCGTGTTGACAGTAGCCTTCAGCTTCGTGGCCAGCAATATCGTCCCACTGAGCCGTCGGTGCAGCGAATATACCGGCGTTGGGGGTGGGCGTAGCCGCAGCTTAATCATGGTTGGTACGTGCTCCTGAATCAGTGAAGGAAGATTTTCTGCCGCAAAGTCAAACGGCTTGTCCCGATGACGAAACGGTTTGCCCAACAACACCACGCTTGAGACATGTGCGTCCAACATGAGCTTCATCTCATTCCCGGTAAGAAAACCTAGCTTGATGCTTTTTGCAATGATGGTGTCACGGTCCTGCTCAGCGGCGGCCGCAACAACGTCCAGGTAGTCCCGCACAAACTCAGCGCTGTACTCACGAGCTGCACCGAAGTCGAGAAGATTGATTCGGTTTGTCTCTGCATCAAACAAAAAATTAGAGTAATTCGGGTCCGTCTGCATAAAACGCCAGTGAAAAAGCTCAGAAAGCGTCAGCAAAAATATACGTTGTGCCACGTAATTTTTGAGATCTTGACTACCTGTAATGGTCGCCAATCGGTCAATAGGAACACCAGAAACGAGTTGCGTCACCAACACCTTGTCAGTCGAGAGAGACTCGTAGACTTTTGGAACGACAAACACCTCCCGTAGTTCTGGAACTTGCTGGATTAGAGCAGCATACCGCGTCTGCTTTGAGGCCTCTATTGTGTATCGACACTCCAGAGCGAGTTCCTGACGAAGCTCTTGCAAAATGTTGTCCATAAACATTCCTGGAGGAAGTAACTTCAGAGAAATAAGCGTCTTCAGATTTGCAATATCGGAGTCAATACTGGCTGCAACGCCAGGGTATTGCACCTTGACAGCGACCGGCTCAGTCGTTACGCCGCCGTCTCCTTTTACAGTGGCACGGTGTACCTGTCCAATACTGGCTGCGGCAATGGGATCATCGTCAAACTCCACAAAGCAATCCTTTCTCCAATTAGCATTTCCGTATTCCTTTGCCAATGTACGATTTAGTTGCGCTTGTGGCATGGCGTAGGCACTATCACGCACCTTCTCAAATATCTGCACCACATGTGGTGAAACAGTAGCGGCGTCCTGGATGCTAAGCATCTGCCCAAGCTTCAATACGGCACCACGCATCCTACACAGCGTGTCCACAATGCGTTGGTGGCTGTGACTTGCCAACATGCCTCCTTCGTTGAAGCCGACGACATGATCCCAGCCAAGCTGCACAAATAACGACGCAAACCCAGCAGCTCTGCTGACGCGCGTAGAAGGAACGGGGCGATATACGACATTTTGCTTCCGATTAAGAGCGTCCTTGCCGTCACGCAGATGAGCAGCCACATCTTTCGACAACGTCTTAGGCGGCGACGGGTTGGGTCCTCGTCTAGTGACACGCGTGGGTGTCCTGCTGCCGCCATTGGAGCTATCGCTCGTGGGAGTGATGGTGTTGCCTTCGGTGCCACCGGCCATTGCCGCCACAATTTTGGCCAACCCGCGCGACACAGTGCACCATGAACGTACGGTGCCACTTCTGCTCAGCATGGTGGTAAAAGAAATGGGGCCTCGCCTCCCCAGCTGCTGTCACGAATCCAATGACCTCTTTCAAGAAAAAAGTAGGGCCCCCAAGAACTCCCTACGCACTGATGAAAGACAAAAATTTAAAAAAAAATGTCAAACCGTTATTGACAAAAGCAGCACAAGTGGTGACAAGGAACAGAAAGAAAAAGACGTCGTTTTCGTTGTCACCCCTCAAGGGAAGGACCCACACCTCATTCACACGAGAAACCGACGCCGTACAGCCACACGCAGACACACACAGGGTGTATACAAATAAATACATTTATTTGTATGTAGAATCGCTATAACCCTTCACATACTACACCAGCTTCAAACTTTTGCTGTGAAGGGACTAAATGACCCTCGACTTCCCAAGAGGGAATGTTATTGTTCCGTTAAAAAACAATACCATCAAAAGCAAAAAAAAAAAAAAACGGCAATTTATCCTTGGCCTCCCATCTCTCTCCTTTTTTCTTTCTCTTTTTCGTTGTTTGCGTTGCTTCGCCCATCCCATCGTCCCTCGCCTTGTCAAGATAGCAGTCTAGAGCCTGGAATGGGGAATCACTTTAGCTGCCTTTTCCTTCAACTTAAAAAGCCATTCCACCAACTCCTTCTTGCCTGTCCCCTCAATGAGGTCCACGGTGGCAGTGACGTACTTCATCCATTGCAACTGGGCCCTCGGAACACCGCGCAGGTGCTCCAGAACAACAGCTTCTACGGAGGCGCACACACGATGAAGCACAGTACGTGAGCGGCACTGCAGCAAATTAATGAGAGCGGAGAAATACGCCTGGAAACGGGCAATTCGCTCCTGCCTGGAGGAAGTGTCCGCCGCCGCGGTGTGCCCAAGAATAAAACACACCTTATCAAAGAGAGAAGACACAACGAGAAGGACGCAACTGAGGGGTCGAACTCCATCTAATGTTGGCTTGGTTTTTCCCTCGCCATAAAATTCCGACAAGAATTTGTTTACAGTGGAATTTGGGTTCTGCATCATCCTCGTCAGCAGCTCTTCATCACATTCCTCAACTCCCTGACATATTGCCCGCACACCCCTGGCAAAGTGGCGCACCAGAAGCAGCGACGGTTCATTATATCGCCTGCTGTTAGTAACTGGGACCATCAGCGCCACGTAGGTTGGCACAAAAAGGGGTGCAATGGCTCGTTTCGAAAGGAATGCGGCAGAGAAAAAGTTTAACCCTGCAAGAGAGAGGGCCCCACTAAGTGGATTTCTTATGCAGCGAAGGGATGTATCCACCCAGTGTCGCAACATTGTCATTTCATCCATTGCAAAAGCAACTGCAGAGGATGCAAAGGCTCGTAAATACGCCTCCTGTAGTGCGTACTGCTGACGATTTTTCTGTTGCAACTTCTCCGTGGAGGTACAGGGGAGGACCACGTCAACAAAAAAGGATTCAAGCTTCCCTGCCCTCATCATCTGCGTAAGAGCCAACAACTGCATGCTCACCTTTGAAATCATTCGCATCGTCGCACTCTTTTCGATCTTCGTGACGTTCTTCTTCGCAGAGCTGTAAAACGCTAAGACCGCATACACCCTTCCAAGGGACTCCAGGGCCATCGAATGATTGTTAGTGTAAAGGCTCGCATTGGACTCAAAGAACATAAAGAGTAACCGCATTGCCGAAACTGAAATGCGTCTAAGCGGCACAGGCATCTTCTGCGCGGATAAGAGGGAGGCACACTGTGAGGTGTTAGCCTCGTAAATAATTCCTGTAACCCGGTGCACCTCCGACAACACTTCATGAGCTGTCTCGGCATCGGCAGCGGCGGCATCTAAAATCAGCCGTAAAAGGTGGTTGGTCAAGACGGGTGGAATCAATGTTAGGTCCGTCAATTTGTTTGTTTCTCCCAACTGAATAAGCGGCACCTGAAAAAGCTGCTCGAAAATGGCTCGTAAGAGCGACAAGATAGAGTTTCTCTTCAGCACACCGTGACCCATGCGTGGAAGAGTGTATCCATGTGCCAAAAGAATGCGAAGAAAGCTTGGCGGTGGCATATTATTACTGTTATCATGCTCGACGATGAGGTGCGTTACCACGGCCCGGTGTTGCAGTACCGCATCGTCAACAAGGTCCATCTCCGGCATTCCCTCAAGCGCTGCAAGCAGAGAAACTTGAAAGAAGGACAACATCTGCTTCTCATTTATTTGATGGAGCGCCTTAAATGTTCGTTGTCGCAACGACTGCGTCCACGGCTCATCTGTTACCAACAAGGCCTCAACGCACGCCTGTACAATGCTCATGTAACGAAGGATGCCGTACTGTGGAGTCAGCGCGGTCGCGGCAAAAAGCTCGGCATCCCGCAGAATGTACAATCTACGAAAACTCTCCCAATCAAAGGGCGGCCTGTTAGTTAAACGGTGCAGCAAAAGCTGTACCGCCACCTGCTCAACGCCAACAAAATCGTCTTGACGTGCAAAGACAGCGCCTATGAGCCGACGAATGGACTCACAGTAACTCTCCGTTGCGACCACACCAGCCCCACTAAGTCGCCATGCCAGGTCGGAGTTGAATAAGTCAAGTAGAGGACTCACGTCTAGCGTCTTCCGCGTGGCGATGGCTGCAGCGAACATCTCAATTGTGGCTTGACAGAGTTCTAGAGCACGCAACAAGACAGTATCACTGCGTTTGAGGTTCTTGAGGGCAAGATCAAACGCCTGCCCCACCTTGAGCGCAAGTCTTGCTACGAACTCCACATCCTTCTGCACGATGCTTACAGCCTCCCTCACTTCCTCACGTGCACACGGCTCCTCGATGTGTCGTAGTATGTGGAATACATGTGCCAAAAACATTAAATCGGACACTACTTGTCGCGATGCTGTCTCTCGCGACCACAACTCATCATTCAAGGGTTTCTGCGCATATTTGTCAAGTAGCTTCTCCACATCCTTTGCGTGGCCCCAAAGGACGCTGAAGAGAGCGCCAAAGTCACATTGTACAGATGCATGTTTCACCAAAACACGGGCCAAACGAGCGAGAACCGCCACATCGTCGCGCGAGAGTAAATAAACCATTTCTGGAGTAACGTGTAGTTGAGTGGACCCTGTGGAAACATGGAGTCCGGAGCGCCGAAGAATTTCGTTAAGCTGCGCTACGGCAGTTACCTCGGCATCAATCAAGATGGTCGCCGAGATAACCGGCGAAAGGAGGATGGCATCCATTGAAGAGAGACGTCCCTTTTATTTACTGTTGTTGTTGTTGTTGCGTGCTTCCTTTACCTTGCGTTTGCAGGACATGGAAACCGAGATAACAAGCCGGACAAAAAAAAACAAAAAACAAGGACAATTTATGGCTACCAACACCCACACAAAAATACATCCACACACATACCCACACACAGAAAGAGTGAGTGAGAGAGAAAGAAAGAGAGAACGCAAGAAGATACGAACACAAGGCAAAAACCAAAATTGATGAGAAACCCTGAAGGAACCAGCACTAATCCTACACGTGCTTCTATCAGTGTTTCAACGTCGTTTGCAAATGCCTATCCGCCCGGATGTGCCATTGCACCTCTATACCTGCACAATAAACGACTGTACGCATACTGAGTTTTCCCCTGATAAGTCTCAGCATTATTATCCCTTTGACCACGCTAGTGAAGAAGTGTAATGATACATGAGAAAAGGGCAAAAACCTAACATCAACGGCACCAAAAAAAAAAAGAGACAAAAAAAAAAAGGAAAACGTTTAACAAGGTCATCATGCAAAAACAGGCAGAACATGCCACTTTTCCATTATTCGAGATGGCCCACTCCTTGCGGTGTATGCACCGTAAGGAGTGGACTGTCAAAGGTCAGCGGAGTAAAAGCAATAACAACAAAAGACAAAAACAAAACAAAATCAGGCTTTTTTCGCTTCCTCCATTTCTTACTTGTGGCGGAAGGCACGACGGCGGGTACCGACGCGTTGGCGTTCCTTCCCGCGGTTCGATACGAAGGGCTTCGCGTGGCCGCCGGGTACGCCCGCCGCTCCAAAGTGCTTCACAGATTCGCGCCCAGACTTGCGGCCGCGCAGCAGGAAGGTATTCTTTCCGGTCGGCGCCACCATTGCGAGCTGGTCAAATGTCAGGCACTCACCACCAGCACCAGTGATGCGTTCGCGGGCGCTCTTCGAGAAGCGAAGAGCACACACGCGCAGAGCCGGGATGCGGGTCATGCGGACATCGTCAAGCACATCACCAACGATGACGGCGATAGGGGACTTCTTGCCCTTCTCCAGCCACACTGACCTGCGCTTCATGCAGACGGCAATTCGGCTCAGAGAGACGGGGGCGCGGTTGCCTCGGCTCTTAAGCAGGCGCTGGTGGATGAGCTTGTTGAACGGGGAGTTGGTGCGCTGGGCGAGGAACTTGTAAAGCTTGATGAGAAGCTTGATGTACGGGTTCGTCGAGTACGTGTGGTGGCGCACCACGCGCTTCTTCTTCTGGACTCCGGTGAGGTCAACTCCCATTTATTCCGCAAAGCTGAAGCAGAAACAAAAAAAAAAGGAGAGGCTAAAGCCTGTAGATGTGTATTTAAAAAATTAAGAAGAGATAGAAGAAGAAGATATTTCCCCTTTTTAAGTAGAAAAGAAAAAGCACAAAAATATACACTCTGCACCCCCTTGCCGCCGTGTCTACGTGTATGGAAAGCTTGCGCAACCGCGGCTTTCTCACACGGAGATGTAACTGATAATTCCTGCATGAATAATCATAAAAGTAGAGCACATATTCATTTGTCTATTCCGTCCGTTCATTCTGTGGTGCCGCCATCTCTCCCCTCTAGTTTTCTCACACAGCGGCATAAAAAGGAAAAAAAAGGAGTATGAGGAGTACATCGATACAACGGAACGCAACCATCAATCATATTACCCCGGTTTAAACTTCACCGAGTCGAAACCATGCAATTGGGACTTAAGACCCTGTGGGTTGGCCCAGGCGCTGTTGCCGTATGTGAGGTCCTCGTCTTCAATCATCTTTTTCGCCTCCTCCTGCTTCCTGAAGTAATACGCCATAAGCTCTGACTGCGTCTTGGCATCTACAACGGGCTCGCGCGGAGGAGCAGGGGCATCCTTGGCCGTAAGCTTCACCGTAATCTTTGTTTTGTCGTTCTTACCAACATATTTTGCAAGGTCGGCAGCCCGATCAAGTTGTTTGCCACTCCACCACATGGTCGCCACGCCCTGCAGGATGTCCTCCGTAGTTGCCCCGTCGTCAATGATGCTGAGAAGACGGTGTGCCTTGGAGCGATCCGCGTCAGCGGTGCTGTCGTCATCCAACATCCGTGTTAAACGCTTTACCGCATCTGTCCCACTGCACTCGGCCGGAAATAGAATCATGACACCTCCTTTGAATGCGTTCACCAAGGCGTCTAACTCTTCCTGGGCACATGTCAACCGCCTTTCTGCGCGTTCGAGTGACATGTAACGTTCGGCATCGGCGACAGGGCCAAGCAGGTGGTGCTGCTGCTCCTCTGCACAAGAGTCCTTGGCAAGTTGCTTCGCAGCTGCTATCATCCACTTAATGCGCACTCTTGTATTACGCATTCGCTGCAGCACATCTGTCGCCTCACCGACGTTTGTGGTCCCGGGGAATGACGCCAAAAAGACGTCGTAGTCTTTGCTGTACTCATCTTTTGGCAGACGCTTGCACTCGATGAGAACCATCACTGAAGGCCACGCGGCCACACTCGTTTAACACGAAGAATGACGCACACAACGCCTACAAGTAATAAATAAACAAAAATATGTCTGTAAAAAGGCGTCGGTCCGTGTTTATCGGCCCGTCGGCTCCTCTTCCCTTCTCCCCCCTTTTGTCTGTGTTCTTTTTTTATGTTAATGTTGCTGATAAAAACCCACAAGAAGGTGGTGAGGACGAAGGAGACAGAAAAGACAGAACAAAAGGTCACAAAAAACAACAACACTGAAACACACACACACACACACAAAACAAAAAACTACAAAAAAACATCGCCAACGATCGCCTCTGCAGCCAAACCTCCCCCCACCCCCACACACGCGCACACTGACAGACTGAAGAAAAAAAGGGCACGCGTCAATGGGAGGACGAGGCAGTTATCCAGCGCAGCTGCTGTGCGTAGTCAAGATGCACCTCCACATTCTCCCACAACCCGCTCCGTTCTATGAGAGAAGCCACACGCTCTCCCTGCAGTCCCACCTCCACAATGAAATTTGGTGCATCGACAAGAGCCTTATCACGATGCGCCTTCGGCTTCAACATGGTAGCCCCCAATTCGCAGAGCTCCTGAAAATAGAAATATTGATGGTTCTCCCGCTTAGCATCGCCCACCAAGGCAAGCTTCGATTCCCAAAGTTTTATGCTAGGAGGGAGGCAAAAGTACTGCTCCGGAAGTACATAAGGAGGATTTGAGACAATAATGTCCAACGAATCCACGTATGAATCTGCCAGTTTTGTCTTTCTTTTCCCGCCCATTTCCTCCTCATTTTTTTCACTACTGGAATTGCCATCAGGTGCAAAAAAGGCCTCAAACATGTCGCTTTTGATTGCACGATAACGCGATGAGGGAATACCATTTCGTCTTGCATTCTCCTCAGAGACCTGTACGGCCTCATCCATAATATCAACCGCCACAACTTCTGTGTGTGGTACATGCACGGCGATGGCAATACCAACACATCCAGTGCCACAGCACATGTCTAATACACGTAACGGTGGCTTGTCACCGGCTACTGAGTGGGCAAGATATTTCTGAACAAACCAGTGAGTCCACATCTCTGTCTCCGGTCTTGGACACAGTAGTGGAGGAGAGCAGTGAATATTGCACCCATAAAAAGGCTGATGTCCGATAATATATGCAAGAGGTTTATGCAGATCAACACGCTGCAGCACCGCCTTCTTAACAGCACTACGTACTGCGTCCTTCTCGCTCCACCCCGCGCCGAGCGCCCACTCTTCCAACCACTGCACCTCCAATGCACTTTGATACCGCATTGCCTTGTCCTCTTTTCCCTCTCCTTCCGAAGTGTAATGTGTCTCAAAAAGCATCTGTGCAAGCAGTCGCCTCTCTTCCATGGACAAACACGACTCTTTCAGCGACTTTCCTCTATACGTTTTGGGTAGTGCCTGCAGTTCCGCCTCGACCATCTCAACAACAGATTCTTCCGCACCCTCACCTTCAACCCCACCGGCATCTTCGTTATCCTTTGCTGACTCATCCACCCCGTCAATGTGCACAGTTGGGACCTTCTGCACCTTACGTGTCATTCTCTCGGAGGCAATCGCGCGAGAAACAGAGAACAGCGCAACTGCCACGGCGCATGGATTCCAGCGCCGCATATCTTGTATGTCTGTTTCCCAACCTTCAATCGTATTCTTTTTCTCCTTCGATTTGCCTTGTATCCGTCTGGAGAGTGTGCGGGAGGAGCTAAGGCGTCTCCCTGCTAATAACGAAGAGAGAGAGAGAGAGAGAAAGAAAAAAAAAAAACAAGGAGGAAAGTAAGTAGGCGAGGAACCATTTAGCAAAGAAACCGAAAAGAAAGGGAAACAAGAATGTCACCAAGTGCATAAACACGAGAAACAATGAGAGAAAGAGAAAGAGAGGGTGTGTGTGTGTGTGTGTGTGTCATGGGTATTAAACTCCACTTCGCAGCATGTGCACATACCTTTCTTTGTTCAGATAACAACAAATAAATAAATAAAGGTTTACTACGAAAGAGGCAACAACAGCAACAAGGTCGGGGAGGAAAAAAAAAAATGCGAATATGTCGCATCCGTAGCAGCAGCGGCAGGAAATTTTAAAAAACTGAACTTACAGCACAACACTCTAAGCTGTGTACTTTTTGATCATAAACGCTATTCCGACGACGGAAAAGCCAACCCCTGAAACAATAAGCAACACGGCGAGACCCATGAGAAGACGTGCGAAACGGTACGGAGAAGTTCCTACCAACGGAGTGCGTGAGAACAAAAACCACGCAATCAAACCAGGAGCCGTTAGCATCAAAAAAGTGCCAAATAATGCACCAATGAAACCAATCGCCACTGAAATTCCCGGTATAACAGCAGCCAGCAAGATTGTCGTACTAACAATAAAAAAAGCCTCAAAAACGATAGCCAGACGGGTGGTATCTTCAGGGGAACCTACGTCCCTGTCAATACCCACACCAGACACATTGTCTATCGTATCCCACGCAACCCCCCCGTGGCCACAATAGTCAGTATCCCCTAGCTGTCGTTCCTCCTCAATACGCTCTGTCTGAGTACTCCACGTCAGTGCGTTCATAATAAGTCGGTGAAGTCCACGACGGGCACCGACAGAAAGAATGGGATAAACGCAAACAAAGTGGAAAAAAAGCCCAAGGCGTCCAATATTGACCACCAGATCATCTTTAGGGTAGTTACGCACAATATCACCCCCCGAGGCACTACTGGCCACTAAATCACCAAATGTCAAATATCCAAACACTCCTGTTGCGGCATAACAGCAGACAATAATAGGAAAGGCAATATAAACACTTTTCATCATGTTATGTAATGTACGTTCTTTCAGTTCCTTGTAGTAATATGGTACATTGTAATGGTAATCAAACGCTACACCATACATCGACATTGTGCGGAATAATCCTGTGCCTACATGATACCAATTAATTTCACCACGATCCACGGGATCAATTTTGGGATACGGCGGAGTCTGACGACTTGTGAAATAACGTGCAACGGCAGTTGCCACAATGTAGAATATAGTGAGAAAACCCAATATGGATGTCCACTTGAGCTCATCCATATTACGCACGCAACTCAAAAGGAAGAAGATAACGCCAGATATGAAAAGCCAAAAAAAACGCGTGACAATAATACCGGAGCCATGCAAAAAACTTTCCACCACAGGAGGTATAGAGTCAGCAATGATGCGTGAGTAAATGATAAGAGTTCCGTAGTTCCCAAAAAAAATAATGGACTCCACTAGTACTGTTATAATTCGACGACGTTTGCGACATTTGATTTCATTTTCCACGTGACGCATGCGAAGAGCCTCCAGTTCTACGGTCCCGTTTCCCACTTCAGAATGGTCCCCTAAAACTGTAGATGATTCCAGTATAGAGAAATCTTCCAACGTCATGGAAGGAAATATAGTGAACGCCATAACCTCGGTAAATGAAAAACGCTGTGCCGCGTCGCAGCCAGCAATAAGGGCAAAAACGGCAAATCCTGCAAGAAAAGCAGTGCATAGCATCAGTACAAGAGCACCAACGACTGAGGCCTCATACATGGCAAGCGGCAGTGAGAGTACCCCAGCCCCAATAACATTGCAGAGCGTATTTATAGTTGCCCCAGCCACAGAACCGTTGCGAGGCTCCTCTGCCACGCCAACAACCGACAGACGACGCGCGACGCGAGCACTGATGCGACTCGTCAAAGACTGACGAGCAATAGTTTCACCCAGCAAATACTCTCGACTAACGTTCATGACGCTCGCCCACGTTCTACGGATTGAGTCACGGTGGCTTCCAATGCAGACGATGACTCTTGTGTATTCTGTTTCCTAATTTATTTTGTTTTTTGGTGTGCTTATGCTAATGTCTTCTCTAGTTGCTTTTAGCCGATGTTGTTGTTTCCTGAAGCACAAGTAGGAAGGACAATTAAAAAAAAAGATATATAGATAGATAGAGATAGCAAACATCAAACCAATAAAGGCGCTGCCTAAAAAGACACCACAACTAGAAGAGACGCCGCGCCAAAGGCACTTATCCCCTCCTTCCTCTTAACATGTGTGTGGCAAATGCAAACACACACACACACACACCCTTACTTGTTGCTTCTGTGTCAACCCAGGTGTGTAAAAGAAAGGAGTGCGGGATGAAGAATTATACTTCATGCCAGGGCAACGATCGCACCGCCTCCCCCCAAAAATATTCTATGGCATGTACTGAACTTAGCCATCTATGATATCCATCCACTCAGTTTCTCTCCCATCCGCACTTCCATTTGTTTCTTTACTCTTCTTCTTGAGGTGTTCGCATCGGTGTGGGCATGCGTTTTATCCCGCTTAATTGGCGTTAATTCCGCGCCTTTTTGCGCGGTGGTACAGTGGCGCGTTGTGTCGCTTCTGCCTTGCGCTTCTTCTTCGTGCCAGTTTGCACCGCCCCTTTTGTGGCTCCCTTGGGCTGCAAGTACTTGGACTCCAGACTGCTCATCATCTTGCCCCACTCCGCCTTCTGATCTTGCCTCATCAGCGCCTGTAACGCGTGCAAGTCACCTCCATTCTTCTCAGCGGAAAGGCCCATACCGTCAAGCGCGTCGGCGGCCTCTTTGCGCTCCTTCCTCAATGCCCGCATAACTTGTTTAACCACCGCTTCGGAACTCGTCAGTTTCCAGGCCTCAGTCGGTTGTAAAGATCCGTTTTCCACGAGACCACGTACAAGCTCCCGCAGACGCCAAATTTCATCCTCCTTTCGGTTGTCAAAGAGAAGTTCCTCCCGTGCCATGCGCCGAAAGTTCCCTTTACACTTATTGTAGCACGACATGACATCCTCCGTCTCCTCAGGTGACCCTGCATACGTGGCGTAGAACATCCGTACCCGCTCCTTCATTTCCGCAGAGCGTTCCGCCATCGTGGCCTCACTGTTTTCCTCAGACGCAACTCCAGGAATAACGCCAGTTGCATCATACACACGACGCTTCTCTGAGTCACCCAAAACACTGTAGGCATTTGCAATCTCCTTGAACTTTGTCTCCCCGTTTGGGTTACGATCTGGGTGATACTGAAGCGCCAGACGCCTGTAGACACGGGATATGTCCCCCTCGACGGCGTCCTGTGGCACACCAAGAACATCGTAGAGTGGACGTTTAAATGACATTTCTGTATGTCTGTTTTTTTTTCCTTGTTTTGCTTTTTCTTTTGTGTGTGTAAACACTGTATCAACGAATATTGGTTTTGTGTTTTTGCTTGTCTTGTTTAAGCAAAACTAGAGAGAAAACGTTGGAAGGAAAACAGTATGGGCGATCCATACACGCTTCCCACCCCTGATATCTGCCTTTGTATGCCGTCACGGACTATTCTGAGTTAGACACACCTCCTTTCGTGAGCACGCATGTGTTTGCGTAATGCCCCCACCCCACACAGACACAAACACACATTGTTTCCTAAACACAGTCAGGGTGTCTTCAACCCTCTCGACCCCCTATGCCTCCATGGTGCCACATAAACATATATGCATCGCATATTACACAAAGAACGAGAGAGAGAGAGAGAGAGAGAGTCACATCTGCGTTGTCTTCTCTCCACTAGCGTGTTCCTCACCTCACTTCCACCCACGCCCATCATTGTCCTCAACTCTATGTCCTTTTTTTTTTTCCTTTCCATTTCGTTACTTCTTCTTTCTTTCTTCTTCCCTTCCCTTGTCGTTGCCATTCTTCGCGTCAGTTTCCTTATCCATCGTTGCGTGCATCTGACTACTTAGCCTTGGCCTTCACCGCGTCAGCAAACTTCCTCACATCCTCCGGCTTCCAGTTTGCGTTCGCCGCCTCCTCGGCCACGTACTTGTCGAAGGCCTCCACGCCCTTCTCCTTGAGAAACGCAACGCCCTGCTCAATGTTCGCTTCACGTGCTACCGCGTCAAGATGCGCGGGACCGTCGCCGCAGTAGGCGGCAAGTTCTGCAACCGTATAACGTGTCAGCTTCACCCGCGCCACTTGCCGCTCGAGAACTTTCTTTTGCTCCACGGAGAGGGTTTTGGCATACTCCAACAGCTCCGACTGCCAATTCTCACCAAACTGGTGCACAATGTTGCACTCCTTGACAGGTGTCTTGTTCTTGAAGTGCAACTCACCCGTCAAAATCCTGTGAAGGGTATTCATCTTGGCATTTGCAGTCACCGCTGTGGGAGCGGCAGTGGCAGCCGCAGCTGCAAGCACACCAAACGAGCGACGCATCCTTTTCTTTTCAACCACTCACGCACTAACACAGCTGCCTACTTTGCACCGCAGACCTCACTTTGTCCTTCGAATATTCTCGAGATGCGTTATTGTGGTCACTGCAGTGAGAAGGGCGAATAATAATAAAAATGTGTGCGTTAGAGCAATAATAAGAGGAGGGAAAAGAAGAACAGATGTACGGTGAAAATCCCTACGCACTGTAAGTGCTCCTCTTGAGCATACACATATCTGTTAGCCTTGGTGTGTGGAAAATGCGCCCCTTCTGCCGTCGACGTGGGCCACAGGGAAACAAGTAAGAGCTGCATCAACACTGCCGCCTCCGTCGGTTCTTGTTGTTGTTGTGTATGCTTTTTTTTTTGTCTTTATTCACTTCACCTTTTTTCTCCGCTTCTTTCTTCCTCAAAGTGACACAGTCGCTGCTTAATTTATCTTGTTCCCTCCTCCCCTACCCCACCACTGCCCTTTATGCGGGTTTATGCCCAGATGTCAATTTCGTCCAGGTCGTCACCCAAATACTTCTCAATGACCTCCACAGGATTGCACGCTGCACCATACCGCATGACGCTCTGCACCAGTTCTTTTCCCGCAGCGCGATTAAGAGGATCCTTTTCAAACTTCTTTGACCAAATGCGTCGAGCAACGGAAAGACTGTAGAGGTATCCGTAGTAGCCGGCAGGATACCCAGACAGGTGTTCAAACGACAGGGTTCCAAGCACACCACTCTCCGTTGGTGTAACCAGTGAGAGAGGGGTACATACGTCAATGAGAATCTTCGCCAAGTTGTATGTGCCGCGGCCGTAGTCACTACTGTCGCCCAGGGTGCGCTTGCCCAGGCTTCCGTTTTGACCGTTGGGAAAGTAGACTGTGTACGGCTGCGGGCCGTGCAGCGTCTGGTCAACCGCCGATAGCACCACCTGATCCATCATGTCTAAACACTTAAACATGTTGGCCGCCGCGTTCCGTTTCATCACCATATCAAACGAAATAGGCTCCCGTGTGTTAATCCGATGTGCCCACAACCGCACAAACTCATGAGAGGTTAAAAATTGTTCAAAAAGTTGCGAAAAGGTCTCCACAAAATCAATGCTGGAACGCGTGCCAGCCAAATTCTGTACTTTTGTTTGCCCAAAAATTGTATGCATTGCATGACCAAATTCGTGAAAGACTGTCGTGACTTCGTTTGGATGCATGAGGGTGGACTCGTCATCGTAGCGTCCGTTGGAGAATCGCTGCGCCGGAGTGAGGGAGCCCACGTTACACGTTAAAACCACAACTGGATACTGTCGTTCTGGCAGCTTCAAGCCTACCCGTGCGAGAGCCTCTTGATGGGGTCTGCATCCCAGCTGCAAGGTGAGGTGTCCGGCCTGGCAGTACTTCATCTCATTGACGTACATGTCCAGAACAATAACGCCCAAGAAGGACCTGTCTTCGTCATACACCAAGAACTTCTTGGCATCCTGGTTAAACACTTCCTCCTTCTCAAACGGCACCTGCTCCAGACGTAGACCAAATACCTCCGAGCACAGACACTGAATTCCCCGTATGCAGTTGGCTACAGAAAAGTATTCTGCTGCCTTCTCAGGCTCGACGTCATTGCGTAGCGAATGCGCCACACGAGCCCGAGTATCATCAGTAATGTTTTGGCGGTTACGTACCTCCCCCACATTCCGTTGAATGAGTTCTAATTCCTTCGCTGCGTCTGGACGATACTTATGAGCAATGCCGCAAAGGAAATGCCAAACACGCTGTTGGTTTCCCAGCATTGTTCCCCGAAGCTGCTGCTCTGCGTAGCTCTCAAAACCAAGAAGTTGCGCAAGCTGATAGCGACAATGCAGAAGGTAACGGAGCGTCGCAAAAGGATTCTTCGACCCTTGCTCTGTCAAGAAGCGCATCGCTAACTCCTCCTTCTCAATGTTCATCTCCGTCACCTTTTCCCTAAGTGAATCTGGCAGGTGAATACCATTGCTTTCCATGTCACGTTTTAGTTGCACAACGTTCTTGATTTCCTCATCATCAAGCTGCATTCGTCCCTCAGGACTGTCTAATTCAACAATAACATTGTACAGGTCTCGGCGGGAATTCACTTTACTCATATATTCATACCCCTTTTGAAAGGCGTATGACGCATACTTCTTGTACTCTTCATCTGGATGAATTTGCCGCACAAATTCACACGGGTCCAGCAGCAGACAGAGAACATTGCTCGTCGAGTCAATAAGATCATGCTTCTCTTTCGCACTCTTTACTTTGGGAATTTCATTCAGCAGCGCGTCGCACACCGCAATGGTTTGATCCACTGTCTCCGCCAGCACGGTCTTGGAAGAGAGGAAGCTCAGGCTTGGTATCTCGCCCGCCACCGCCTTTATCGGCACCTCATCGCTTCGCGCCGGCGACGATGGCATTGCTGCTGCAGCAGTCAAGGGGTTTGATATCGTGGTGGCGTAGCGGGCGTTCATCCCCCTCCAGGCAACGGAGGGATATGCGCGGAAGCAAATGCCTCCCCAACGCACATGACGCAGCATTGTCTATCTGCTAGCGGGGGACTCTGACAAAACGACTTTCTGAAAGTTTTTTCCAGAAGGGAGGGGAAAGGAAAATTGCTATAATACAGGAAATCCCTCGGTTACGGGCAGAGATTACTTTAGCATCCATCGTGATGCGCAAATGTCAGAGAAAGAAAAACCGTGCATGCGTGTGTGTGTGTGTGTTTGTGTGTAAGTGAGAGTAAGGAAGTTTGCCTGTGTATATGAAACGCAGGTGTTCTACAACCTTTCGCATCATAGCCGTTGTGTATTTGTTTGCTCCGTCAAACTCGCTTGCATCCTACGCATACACACAAACACATGTAGAGACAAGCAAACACAAAATTCAGTGAAACACACACACACACAAAAACAAAAAAAACCGTTACCTCGCAAAAGCAAGCAAACAAACAAAAGCGCCCATGTTTTCTATGCAAAAGGAACGTTCCAGCTGGTTTTTGCGAAGGCGGTGGATAGCTCTGTGTGCGCCATGGATTGCCAACGTTCGTCCTTTAAGTCCCGTGGTGGCATCTCATCCCGGACCTTGGCAAACCAGCGACGTGAATTCTGAAGATCTCCATTTTGGTAATACGCCTGTGCAAGTCGGCACGCATACTCCAAGTTTGTCGGATCATTATCTACCGCCTTTTTGTGAAGCGCAATACTTCTGGACCACATCTCACTCCAGCCCGGTACCCCGCACCATATCCCATAGGGGCGTGTGGGACTGTACCACTTATATGCACAGCGACCACAGAGGGATCCGAGTGCGTTGGGGATGTCTGAGTCGCTAGGGAGCAACTCCATACCTTTTTCCCCACGTTTCATAATGGCATTGTAGTTCTCCAACAGTCCTAAACCGATAAAACTCTTAATATAGTAAAGCGCCTCTGCCTCACGCGTGGCACACATCACATATGTTCGATAGCACGGGCCATACTCCGGATTTTCGTTTATGCATTTGCGACTCACATCAACACCGCGCTGTAGAAGATCTAACCGATCGCACCAGTGATCTCGGAACACTTTGTTTTTGTTCTTGTCGTACAAGACGGTAGTTTCCGCGAGAAGCGCCATCACCTCTGGACTGGAGGGATTCTTCGCAAAAAGTCGTTCCGCGTAGTCAAATGCACTCTCCCCCAGTGAGAAGCTCAGCAGCTGGTCGCGAAACTCGCGGTAGTTGGCAAACTCATCATTTTTCGCCTTCTCGGACGACGCTGATATTTCCTGCTGGGGCGATGCTGCTGCCGCACCACCCACGTTCGCCTCCCCCGCCACTGGGGCAGACTTGCTATTCCTACTACCCATCCTATTCGCCGCACTCCACGATACCCGGTTACCCTATTTTGCTTTCTTTTCTCCGCTTCCCTTTCCTGCCCCGCCACTGCTGCCTATGCCCCTCCCCTCGTATCTCTCAAGCCGCACAAGTAGAGGGAAGACACAAATTGAAGCACCCACATCCGCAACGGAAAAAATGCAAACAAATGAAAAAAAAAAATGAAACAGAAAAGGTGCGTCCCGCATGAGGAAAGGCAAGTGACAAAATGATAGGAATAATAACAATGTGGAAACTCTCCTTCCTCGACTTGCCGTTACTTGGAGAGCGGGGGAAAAAGACAAAGGAAAAGGTAATGCAGCACACACGGGCATGATGATAAAACACAAAAACAACAACCAAAAAAAAAAAGCGATAACACGACAACAAGAAAGGAAAAGCGCTTTGCTAGCAGCACAGAAAAGAAATCATTTTGAGAGACATATAGGAATGAGTATGCCACCGTCTTTATTGGGACCTTTTATCTCCACCTCGGCTAATTGCCAACTATCGTTCTCATCTCTCACTCTCTCTTCCTAACACTGTCGGCCCTATAGACACTTCTACTGCTTTTTCCTCGCTGTTCCGTTACTAGTATCATCTTCCTGGTGAAGACGGACTGGAACAACGACGACGCTGGTTATTGTCGATGTAGTTGTTGCCTTGTTTTCATGATATGCCTGACTGGTGCTTACCTTCTCACTCACTCTCTTGTGTGCGACAATCCAGGTGCAACCTCGCCTCCAAACTACTTGATGGACTCCACGAAATTGAGGAGATTCTGGAGTTCCGGACTATAGCTCGCAGTTCGTGTGTTTTGCTGCTCACGCTGCCCAGATTCCACGGTCAACGTCAACAAGGGCGACGGGAATCTCACTTCAGCCGTGGCAGCGGCAGCATGTGTACAATCATGTACAGCCTCTAATGTCGGTTTACTCTTCGCGGGCTGATCCCTATTGCCAGGTGACTGCGGCGGCATCTGCCGAGGAGGAGGTGACGACAATGACGATAGATCGGCATCACCGTTGCCGTTAAACGCACCCCTTTTTATCTCCTGCCGTAGCTGAGAAGCATGAAGGAACCTCTCATACTGGTCCTGATCAATTCGCGAGTTCACAGCAAGCAACTGTTGATGCAAGGCATTTAGTTTCCGTTCTTGCTCACTGAGATGCACCTGTATCTCATCCTCCTTGTTTTGCTTCTCCTCTGGATTGGCATCCGCCAGCAGACGCTCTGCATCCGAGGATGAAAGCGGCACTACGGTCACTTGATCCTGCGGCCCAAAAACACTGAAGGCAGGAATCCAACCATTAAGCACCGGTGGCAGCGGGACGCGAGCCACAAGCTGATCCTCAAAGTAACAAATAAGAAAATACGAGGGTGCCTCAAGCTCAAGAATAAATCGAAGCGTTGTGCCCCTCTTAAGTCTATATTTTTCCGGAAGCACACGACACTCTCCCTCGTTAGGGCCAACAATGCGTTGACCATCCCACACAACGCCTTCACCGTCCGTTCCCGCCATAAGCACTCCCGCAAGAATACGACCTGGACCAGCTCCAAGGCTGTCAACGTGAACTTCCCATGCTGTAACACCTGCATAAAGTGTTCGCGAAGCACAAACAAGAGAGTGGGTGGGTGTAACGTCCTGCAACCTTGTCAGTGTACGGCCACCGTAGATAAGAAGACCGTGCGCTTTAGCATCCTTGGGAACCTGAAGTGTAAATGCCTCGCGTCCCACATCAGACGGGTTGGGGAAGTTAAGATACCCTGTATCCAAAACATCTGGAACCCTAATACCCGCAGGAACGCTTACTGCTTTCAATAGTTCCATGTAGGTTGTCATGGTTGCAAAAGATTTTACCTCGGGCACTGTAACTCGTGGCATAGGAATTGGTTCGTGGCTTGACATCTTGAGACGACTTACGAGATCCATCACACGCAGGGACCACTTCTCTGACCGCCCATCCACCTGCTGCATGAGTGGGATAGAACGTAATAAGGTATCACATGTTTTTAGTCGCTCCGCATAGTATTCTATAAGTTCATTTGTTCTTCTTACCGTCAAGTCAATAATGTTTAACTGGGCATTGATCTGCATTTGCATACTCGATTTGAGTCCTTGGCACCACTTGGTGAGATCTCGAACAATCTCTTCAAAGTGCATATCTAATGCTGCGTCCTCACGCTTAGCCGAGTCATTTAGAATGCCCTTCCCACGTTGCAAATTGGAAACAATGGTATTGGCAACATTCAACTGGCTTCGACAACGCTCTGACCACATGCTGAGATCTCGCACATGCGCATCTGCAGCCTGTCGTAGGGTAATAAAAGGGTGATCCTTGTGAATTCCAGACACATGGCAACGACTCGAAACCAACACACCACAAATGGAGCACCAGAATTCAGCGTTCAAGTGAGGATATACAGAGCAACGGGCAATAAGCGTGTCATCTTCTTGAGCCTTGGGGCCCAGCATCAAAGCATCCATCGATGATGAATGAAGTGGAGTTTGCACAAATGCCCCTTCAGTTTGCGAAAAATTTCGAAGAGTTTCCGCCGACGCTCCATTTACCACCTCCGTAATAACCTCGGGGTTGTTAATGTGTTCGTCTGTCACTGTTTCTCTCCTTGGTGTTATTGCAGTTGCTGCTGCGGTTGTCATGTCGATGTACTTTCGCGTCGGCTCAATCGTCGTGCCAGTTGTCCTGCTTGGGGTGTGAGCCTCCGTAAGCTTCAAAAGGCGCGGTATCTCAGCATGGTTAAATCCCACCGCGGAGATGAGACGTGTTTGCATGGAAATACCGACGCGGAAAAATTCTGCCATTGTGACGCCATTGTTGGCTAAAGCGTCCTGCAGCCGCCTCCAGAGCAGTTCGCTTGTTTCTGGTCCAGAGGCTTGATGGTAAGGAGAGGCATCGCTCTGCCCTGGCGCCACCGACGCACCCACACTCTCGCTGGAACGCTCTCCCTGCTTGTTTGCGACAACCACTCGCTGAAGGGTGATACCCCCGCACGTTTTGCAAAACGTCGTCATGGTCGCCTTCTGCGGTGCATTGCTGCTGGTGTCGGGGAACGCGTTAGACTCTCCACAGACGGTGCACGCCAGCAAAGTTTCACTCATGCTTTTTTTTGTTTTTGTTGTCTCCGTTCCTTGGTTTGGTTGTCTTGTGTGGGTGCCTTCACGTTTGGGCCTTCCTCCAGCGAAAACAAAGATCTCCCCGCCCCCTCCGTTACCACAGGCACAATACGAGAAGCAAAACCAGCAGCAGCAACAACAATAACGGCAACGAAAAGAACAATGAAACTTCGCCTGTCCGTTGTTCCTCGCACATTTTCGAAAAGAGTCACATGCCGCCCAAACGTGAAAGGAGCACAAAAAAAAAAGGCAACGGAAGAAAAAGCGTTTCTACATGTACGATAAGGGAAAGCGTTAGCTATTTGAAAACAGAATGAATACATGCACCTGCAGAAGAAACCAAAACAATAACAACGTGAAACCCAAATCCCAGTTTTTTTTTAAAAAAATTATCACCTATTACTTATCCACAAGAAGCGGTGAGGCGTCCTGCACCCTCATATTACTTATGATCTCAGTTGTCCCAAAAGAGATATATATATATATATATAAACAGGTACTATTCTGCTTTTCATCACTATGCCTATAAAAATGTGTATGCGTGTTGAATCAGAGAAGAACAAATATTAGAAAATGTACTCCTTCTGACACTCCCATACAAATGGCACACACCACACACTACAATCGTGGTTGTGGTGGGGTGAGTTCACCGCGCAGATCGACACTGCTAAAGTACTTCTTTATGTCCTTTGTGGAAAGTCCAAGCCCTATAAGATACCTCAGCTTCATAATGCTGGCTTCAATGGTCATGTCAGATGCTGAAATCGCCCCCGCCTCCAACAGCTGATCGCCCGCGGCGTAGGCGCCCAGGTCCACAGAACCGTACAAGTTCTGCGTGCAAACACAAACGGCAATATCACGCTCCACCGCCCGCCTCACAGCCCTCTTCATAAAACCGCAAAGCGATGGCGCGTTTCCTCCACCAAAGGCGATGATAAGAATAGCACGTGCCTTTGTCAGCTCGACAGACTTCATTAAAAAACGTTTCCGCATCGACGGCCCCAACTTCAAACACAAGACCACCGACTTCATGTTGTCCATTATACGGAACTGACCAAGTGGAAAAGGACGAAGAAATGGTCGATGTAGACTCATGGTTCCATGCATTGTCGCCAACGGGGGAAAATGCGGAGAGTCAAATGGCGCAAGTCTTGCTCTGGAAACCTTGATTGTTCGATTTGCCCGGAATAGCCGCTCATCAAACAAGATGCAAACCTCACAAATCTGACTGCAGTTAGCAAAGAGCAGGGCAACAATCAAATTGCGTTTAAGGTCCGTGTAGAGACGGTCTGCTGGAATACACGAGCCGGTAAAAATGACAGGTTTCCCCAAGTTCTCCAGCATGAAACTGAGAGCGGTTGCAACAGCCACCATGGTGTCGGTTCCGTTGTGAATAACAAACCCACGGTATTTATGGTAGTTATCCCGGATGATAGCTGCCAGACGAACCCAATCGTCGTGGGTTTGGTCGGCCGAATGCTTTAACACATCCAATTCCATAACCTTGTGCGGTGGAACACCTGCCTTTTGCATATCTTCGTTATCCTGAAAAATATCAGTAAAGCTTCGCGGCTTTCCATCCTCTTCAGTGGAGGTGCCAGACACCCTGTAACTGCGAGCGTTGACCAAAAGAATTTCCTCACATTCGACGCCCAGTTCCTCAGCCAGTACAGGGTTTTGACGATCCTCTAGCGTGAGGGAATCCCGGCCCCAGACATACATCACCATTCCCTTAAGTGAAAACTGAAAGTCTACAACAAAAAAAGCATATATATATATATATATATATGCGTGTGTAGGTGTACGCGCCAGCGCAAAATAAAAAAACGGTGGAAAAAAATATTTAAGAAAAAAAATAGTGCGGCTGCTCCCACGACACAACAGATGGCACACGGGTGTTGCCGGCCGAGCAAGCCGACAAGAAGGGGGAGAAGAAGCAAGACGCAAGGCAGTCCTCTCGCGTCTTAACAAAAAAAAAAAAAAGGAAACATAAATAAAATGAAGAATGAACAAAGAAGAAAAAGTAATGCAGAGCAAAGATGGAAAAAAGAAAATGGCTTCACATCCTGTATTCGCCTTTCACTGGTGATGGAAAAGGAAGACATCCATACAAGTATGCAAATGGGTAAAGCGCCGCTCTCCCCACCCACACCACCGTGTCGTATCTTAAGCCTCCTCCTGGTCCTGGATGTTGAAGTACTTCAGCTGGTAGGTGTCCTTGCCCCGGGCGAGGATGCGGATCCAGTCACGGAGGTCCTTCTTCTTGAGAAACTTCTTCGTGAGGTACTTGAAGTACTTCTTGCGGTAGGCCATCGTCGTCGAAATCGTAAGGACGTTGTTGCGCAGACCAACACGCACCTTCTCCGTCAACTTCCCCTTGCGACCATTCAGCTTCACGTTGTCTTGGAAGTATTGCTCGAAGTTGCTGAGAATCTCCTCGCTGAAGATGCCGTCGTTGGCGGGAATGGTGCAGTCAATCCTGAACACCTTCTTCCCCTTCGCCAGCTGCTTCTGGCGGATGAAACCGCGGGAGCCGACCTTTGCGCGAACTGCCACCATACTTTTTGCTTCTTCTTGAGGCAAGAACAAAAGAAGGGGAAAGAACGTGAAGAATATAATATAATATAATAATAAACACGGCTGATTCCTTGAAGTTTCGTTAAAAATGGTTTGCGAATTGTGCAGACGAAAAAGACACACAAATTCCCTGCATCCTCGTTTACTCACCCCCCCCCCCTTCCCTCCTTGTGTCACAATGTTGTGTTAGAAAAAGAATGCATATGCATCCCAATGCGGGAGGGGAAGCGTGCGCACACATGTGACCGGTGCGCAAGCCCCGGTGAAATGTCAAACAGAGAAACCAAACAACGTCCAGGAGGATGCACGCAGACAAATGCAATAAACCGCCCCCTCCTCTCTCCCCCTCAGATCCACCAAATACAGAACAGCATACACGCTTCCACCCCGTCAGCCTCGCCAAAAAAAAAAAAACGCGCACGCAAAAACTCACTGTGCACGTTCACCCTCGTCTCTTGGATCCACGTGCGTTGCCGTAGTGTCATTCGCCTCCGTCTTGTCTACCGCATCTTCGTCCTCCTCCATAAAACGCTGTTCTCGCCGGTCGTGCCTCTTCACAGCGGCATTAGCCTCTTTACGGTTCCGACTCATCGCAAGCTGCCGAGCGCGAAACTCTCTAAACTTCTTGCGTTTCTCGATGTCCTCTTGTGCTCGCCGCTCCAACATCTCCTTCACGCGCTCCGCCTCCTCTGCGCGACGGCGTTCTTCTTCCTCATCCAACCGCTGCTGTTCCTCTGGGGCGATCCACGGTGCATCACCATCGTCGTCGGGATCAATCCCGGCCTTTTCCAGTTCCCGACGCCGCCGCCTCTCCATCTCATATTTCTTCATGTCGAACCGCACTATCGCCGTGCAGCACACGGCTCGCACCTGCCGCAGCTGCACTTGCTGAATAAACGGGAAGTGATGCCGTATCCCGGCAAGCCTCCTCACTGGTACTAAGGCAAACATCAAATCGCTATGGCTGGATTGCAAATATTATAGGCAACTAACTCACACACAAGCTCCAATCACGAACCTCCTCAATTCAGCTCACAGGTCACCCCACCATCACACAGCGGCACACAAAGAAAAAGCAAACAAAAAAAAAGGTATACAAACACCAAAAACAAAATATTTCAAATCAATATATATATATATATATTATATACATTATTTTTTATTCGCCTGTACGACTCTCGGCACCCAAACATTTACACATATGTCTATATCCACATGAGTGCGAAATTCTCACTCATGCCCCTCCCCTTCCAATAAAAATGAATTAAACGTTAAATAAAATCAACGATAAAGGCAACTGCTAAAACACGACATATTCAGACACAGACCGCAATCAAGAAATACCGGTGTCTACAGCAAACTCATCCGAAAGAGCACTATGGAGCGATTTTGGCGTTGATATGTAAGCACGAGATGCGTTAAGTTTGTCGCAAATGCCAAGGTGCAACTCACAAACGGACGGATCATTTGGATCTATGAGACCGCGTTTTTGCGCATAAAGGGTGTCACGCTGAAGAGCGAGAAGATCAGCCATGTAGTGATCTAAATCTTGTTCAACGGCCATCACGTTTTCTTGCAACAGGAGATGCTTGGCAGACTCGCGGGCCGAATCCACACCCATTGATGGCTCTACCAATTTAAAGACAGTTATACTTGTAGCATTGATGAGCAGCTACCCGCAAATCAACAAAAAAAAATGCACTTCCCACCGTAGCCGCACCAAATGAGCAGGTGTACCTACCTCAAACGCTGGTTCAAGCTTCATTTCCTCCAGAGATTTTCTATCCCCCACTACGCAAGCACCCCCACGATGATCTTCCGTCTGTGGAGCGTACTCAAGCGTCCCCAACGATGTCAACACACTGTCGTCGTTCCCCCCCCAGCGGGATCTTTAGTGGTGAAGTAAACCGTAGCTATACGTTGGTGGTGGCCTTCTTGTGAGAACGACGGGGAGTAAACGTGACGGCATAGGGTGGATCACCCGTTGGCTACTGCCTTGACAGGTACGCAGATGAGTCAGTTAGTCGACCCTTCACAGATATTGGTTCACCTCCCATGGTGGATGAACTGGGGCCAACAGCAAACTCGCGCCTCACCTCAGAAAGCTACTTCCTTAGCCAGTAGGTGGCCATGTTGAGACATCCGACCTCCGTCCATAGCGTTTCCTCCAAGTGCAAGAAGGGGCAAAACCAGGGCAGTATTAATGGGACAACGAGGGTCCCACGTGCATCTGTAAGCTGCGAAGGGAAGAAGTGCGGAGTGCACGCTTCTTCGTAGATTCCAAAGTAATGGGCCTAACTGGCGAGCGTCGCGTGTGTGTCAGCGTCGTCCCTGATGGTGCAAGACATCGCTTAGGTGTTGCTGCCGATGCTGCCGGCTTTTGCATGGCGGCAGGAAAGGAAACGACGGGTGGGTAAAAGCCAACACCCTTCAGCACCGTTGCAGCGCTTCAAGTCACATGGCACGTGCAACAGACAAACCAAGGAGGAAAAAAAGTCAAATAAACAAGACAAAAGAGAAGTCAACGGAAGTTGGTGGCCAACACAAAACTACTTTTTATAAGAAGGGGTGAAAATCACGTTTGCCACGCGGAGAAAGACGCACAATATATATATATATATATATATGTATGCATTTAAGAAAGAATAAAAGGTTTTTTTCTTTGTTTCGTTTAAACAACTTTATTTGTATTCTTCCTCAAACCCTTTTTTAACCGAAGTGTACCTCAAACGAGCAAATAACAAATTCTGCTACTTCTCACACGCAAGCACGCCATTATGATTACTTCTGCCACTGAGGTGGCAGGCATGCGTGCATGCATGCACAGCCATGCTTATTCTTACGCATGGGCCTTGCGTGTATGCTTCTTCTTCTTTCTCGCCTGTGTGACCTGCATGGTGGCACGCTCAACCAGTTTGGACTCGGCCTTCCTTGTCCCAAGGGCCTGCGCACTGGTTCGGAATCCACCCTTGCCACCTGCCGTACCCATATCCTTTTTGACAAGCAGTTCCAACCTCTTCTGGAGCACCTTGATAGCCTTTTCTTTTGCCCGATTTTCATTGTCCGCCTCGTCATCAACCATGTCATCCACCTCTATATCCGCCTCACGACTCATACGGTGTACCCAATTATTCCGCGCCCGCGACTTGTCAATCTCCTTCTGCAACTTGTCAATCTGCATCGCCACCTTTACATGCGAATGAAGCTGATGCACAATGACAGGTTGAAGAGCAAACATCTCCATTTCGTTAGTGCCTCGTCCAAGTGACACCATCAGCTTTTGGAAGGACATGTGATCCTGAGCGCTGATCATCAAAATCGAAAGACCAGTGCCGCCACAACGCGCCGTACGACCACAACGATGAATGTAAGCATCCGTTGAACGAGGGACTTGAAAATGAATTACATGTTTTAGTCCATCAACGTCCAAGCCGCGGGAGGCAATGTCTGTCGCCACTAACACACGTTTTTCACCCTTCCTAAACTTGTCAATGTACTTCAAACGCTGTCGCTGCTGAAGCGAGGCGTGCAGACCTGCCACTGGAATGCCAAGCACCTCTAGAAGCTTCACCAGACGACGAAGCATAGATATAGCGTTCACAAACACAATTGTGCGTTCATGGTACATCTTGAGGAAGTAATAGAGATAGAGATCTTTGCTATCACCTGGGCAACGCAGATACGTTTCTTGTATCTTCGCCGTAACATCTGCCTTGGGTGAGAAGGTAAATACTTTGGCATTTGAGGGCTTAATCTCCAGCTTCTGAAGTACTGTCGCCATGGTGTCGGCGTTTGTTGTGCGGATAACCGTCTTTTTGGCCCGAAGATCTTTCCGCTCGTAGTTCGTCTGAAGCGAGAGTGTGGCACTGGTGACAAATGTGACAGTGCGATGACCTTCTGCTGGGTTGGGTGGCATTGGAATGGGGCGTGGGACGTCCTTCCGTCGACGCTGCTGCTGTTCTTCATAAGGCTCTGCGGCCGCGTTGGTGTCCTTTTCCTTATTTTTGGAGAATGGCACAAATTTTTGTGCCTCGTCGTCCCAGCGACCCGCTTCTAGTTCCAGCTCTGCTGCCTCAGCCCGCTCCTCACGCTTCTGCAGAAAACCGGCAGGCAACACCTCAGAGTGAATACGTTCCAATAAATTCTTCAGCTCCTCAAAGCGACCGGATTGAAGAAGTTTGTCTGCTTCATCGAGCACCACAAATGAAAGACGGCGGCTGATACTGTGACCAAGATAACAACCCTCATTCTTTTGAACAAGCTCCCAAAGTCGACCTGGTGTACATATCAATACATGCGGGTGGCGATTCAACACGCGCTGCTGCTTCTCTGGAGCCATACCACCGACGACGCAGCCAATAACTACATGTCGTGCATGCTGAGTTAGCTGAAGAAAGGCCTCGTTGATTTGCAGAGCCAGTTCACGGGTAGGGGATATAATAAGGGCTTGCATCAGTCGTTCTTTGGGAACAGTGGACAGTTTAGTGGAAGATGATGATTCCTCATCCTTTCCCGCGGTATCGTCCCGCGCCCTCTTTCGACTTCTGCTATCGTTGTTTTTCGCATCATTATTTATCATAGTTTCGTCGGTTGTGCCACCCTCTTTTGACGAGCTAACCTTTTTGTCTCTTGATACTACCTTCTTGGAGGGTTTTTTCGTATTCCGTTTGCCCTCACCTTTCCCGTCACATTTATCGGTTTCCATCTCATTATTGACAGAATTCTCGCTCGAGGGCAATTGGGAGAGGATTTGATGCAGGATAGGTAGTGCAAATGCCAAAGTTTTTCCACTTCCTGTTTCCGACGAAATAATGACGTCCTTCCTGCCCCCACGCTCTTTTTTGCTCCCCTTCTTGGATGATGCAGTGCCCAATACCGCCTCTTCACCGGCACCCTGTAAAAGAACGCTGGGGAGAACTTCTTCTTGCACAGGCGTCGGATGGGCAAAACGCATGGCCTTCAGGGCATTTAGCAGCAACGGATGCAAACCCACACGTTCCCAAAAGAGATAAGGGTCACCGTGGTGTCGGTACTGATTCTTGTTAGGCATAATGGAAGTGTCTTTTCCGTCTATGGCAGCATCCCCCTCGTCCAGCTGCACCTTTGGCAAGCTGAGCGGATGATCTTCTGGGAGAGGCGCCTCCGGCAGCGCAAGTCGTTTTTTGTTGTTCTTGTCACCCTTGTCCCCCTCGACGGGGCGCAGAAGAAGATCAGTGAGGCTTCGTGGATCAAACGTCACCTCCCGAGTCGGTGCTGCGGATCCTGCTGCAATTTCCTCCACTAGCGCCTCCAGTGGCCGTGATCCACTGTCGATGTGATCGTACCGATTGTGTCGGCGCTTCGCCGCGCGCATGCGCTTACGCACCTCAGAGGAGACGTGGTGTCGCTCCTTCATCTCGTTCCTGCGAGTGCGCTGCTTAAACGTTATCTTCTTGAGCGACATGTCGTGTGGCTTGTCTCCTGTGCTTCGCCCTTCCACCTCCCGCTTTTCCCCTCTTCTGGTGCCTTTTTTGTGGTGTGATTGCCCGCCGTGATGGGGGGCCCTTCCTTTACTCCACCCCACGCCCGCATGCGGCGAAATAGAAAAAAAAGATTCGACAACAAAAAGCAACACAAATAGAAAAAAAAAAAAAGAAACTGATCCTTACAACATCTCTCCCGCAAGAATAAGCGATGAGAGAGGAAGCGGCAGCTGACGTAAATTTACTCGTCACGGAAAGGTCCACACCTATATGGGCAGTGGCAAAACAATGACACACGATAATGCAGAGAAGCAAACGAAGAAAAATCACAAAAATAACTAAAACATGTCATAACACTTACGCATGAAAATAAATAAACAACTAATAAAATAAATAGTAGTAATCACACCAAAGAAAAAGAAAAACACCACGTCTATTATCATAGATTTCCTTCATTGGTATCGTTTTGCGCCTCAGTGCAAATCACCCATGCCATGAACACAACAACAGCAGCAACAACACCATATATATATATATATATTACCGCTTCCTCCACTGCACACGCCGCTGTCCTTTTATTTTGAAACTTCCGGTAGACTCCTGCAAAGCAGGAACGCATAACAGAAAGAAAAAAAATAAAATTGGAACAACTGTTACGAGAGCAATGACGGCACTAGCACGTATTTCGTCTGCAATGGATCAACTGTGAGAGTTTTTCACCAGCCAATCCACAACCTCGTTGATGTTGGTCTGGCGCAGCGCAGAAATGGGAATGACAAGCCACGGATTATCGCGAATGGCCTGCAGGTTCAGAAACTCCACACATTCTTCTTTAGTCATGTGAGGCTCAAGGTCAACCTTGTTTAGACACACCAGCATGGGGAGGCTGTGCAACGCCTTATCCTCAAGCAGTTTGTGCAGCTCACGCTTGGCAAGTTCGGTGCGCTGGAAGTCGCTGGAGTCCACACAATAGATCAAGCAGTCACAGCCCTGCGTGTAGCGTCCCCACTCGCTGCGAAACCGCTCCTGTCCGCCAAGGTCCCACACTTTAAGCTGTACTCCCCGTTTTCGCACCATCTTTACATTAAGCCCCACGGTGGGAAAGGTCTCAATGGGGTGCCCCACCGAAAGCACATTCAACAGCGTCGTCTTACCGCTATTTTCCAAGCCAACAAGACACATCTCAAGCTTCTTCTGACTCGAGAAGAGCTGCCTCATCCTTGTCACTAGGTTCCCCATCCTCTCACTTCTTTTTCTCCTTTTTTTAACCTTCGTACTCCTTTTATACCTTATTTTCTAGAGTGTTGATATTCAGAGTCGTACAAGAGAAATGTTACAAACATCATTCGCTCGTTTACATCTACCCCCATCCATAGATTATATATATATATATATATATATATCTGCAGTGAAGGAAGAAGGGGGGTTATCAGCGTTAATAAGTAGTAGAGATATATAAAGCCAGGGAAGGAGAACAAAAACAACAAATACAATTCAACCCCGGCATGCAACGTAGAACACGTCACGCACATCGCATTTTGTACAAGACGTGTCTACCGCCGATGTCGGTCTGTACTTACGGTGCTCATTGTTTCCGCCGATATCCCCGCCGAGTAAAGCACGCGGTACACGCCGTTGCGGTCGTAAAAGCCGCTAAAGTCGATCCATGTCAAAAGTGGAATGAGCTGTGGGTAGTCCGTGCCCACCGGCGAGGCGAGCTCAGAGAGGGCCTTCAAAAACCGCTCCTCTGCACCCTTCAACGTCTCCCTCACCTGCTCCGCACTAAGCTGTGATGATACCTCTCGTCGACCCATCTCAGTAAAACTGGATGCAATCTCCAAAATTCGCGACAAGCTTCGAAAGCGGTGAGAGCTGGCGAGCACCAGGCCAAGTTCAACTCCCTCAAAGAAGTCTTGCAAGGCATTGTTGACAGCAAAAACGCTGTCCGCCTGGCCGATGCGACCCATCATGCGACCCCACAGCGGCTCCACAACAAAATGTGCGGCATAAAACTGAAACTGCCGGATAAACTGAATAAGTTGATGTTTGATGCTATACGCCTGGAAGGACTGATGGGGGACGTCTACGTCAGTCCACGCCGTGGTAAGATTACGTTCACAAATTTTTAGACACGTAAAGAGACGAAATACTACATTTAAGCGCCTCAAAACGGCAGCGTCCAAGACCATCGTGAGGGGCCATTTGAGATAGGCCTCTAGTTGAAGCAGTTCAATGCAACGATGCGTTTCTATGCGCATGGCACTTCGTCTACCACACGACCCGCGAGGGACCACCTCGTCTGTGTTGTGTTCAAAAGAGCCGTTGACGTACTGCTCAATGGTGCTATCCGAAAAGCTGCAGCCAATGATACTGTGATACGGGTCCGTCCCACAACATCTTGCAATCGCTGCTTGAAGCAAGACCCGCAGCGAGTGCACCTTGACTTGTACCGGTGACTTAACCAAAAGTTCCTCAGCGCTGTCAAGGAAGTCAACCAACCAATCCCCACGCTGGTGCAGAAAGTAGCTCTTCAGGGAGGTCAGGTGACCTAGCAGATCCACCTGAGACCCCAGAAAGAGACGAAGCACCTCACCGCTGGAAATTTCATACGACTCCTCAATTTTGCGATGTAGCTTGTCATTCCCCGACCAAACGAGCATATGCTCCGCCACATCCCCAAACGCAGGAAGAGTCCCGTTGTACTCACGTAGAAGGCAACAATACTTGCCCGCGTAAAAGACCATTTTTGCAATCTTAGAGGGTTTCAAAAGGAAGTTCGGGATCATGTTTCTATTAATGGAGAAGCGCCGCTCAAACGCAATTGCCTCCTCAGATACTGCGCCACCACAATCATCTGTGGCAGTATAATTTGGGAAAATGCGACTCACCATGTTCCTCGTGCCATTGGGGCTACTTACAGTTAACGTCGTCGACGTTGATGTCGTGCCGGGCAGTGGTTGGGCCTCGGAGATAAAAAATTCCCCATACGGATCTTCTAACAACCCCTCATGCATCCATCGATGCAGGACGCGCAGGTACGGCATCAATGCTCGACGAAGCAGCAAGATAAGCAGCTCATCATCTTCTCTGCTACCCGAACACTTCTCTGACTGTTCGTGGAGGTGATTTAAAAGTCGCCACCCCGCCATTGACAGCGTCCCCTCCTCGTCTATGATAGTGTCAGTGGGAAGCAACTGACGCAGTCGCACAATGTGATGCCCCGCTCGCATCACTTCCGAGACGACGCCCATAAGTGGCATCGCCCTACCTTGTGTCCAACGCTGCAGATTGGCCATCTCATGGGCAAAGCTGGTACAGACTTCCGACACTACCTCTCCAAGAGCCATCGCCACAAGACTTTTCCCCATGTACTCAGCCCGCTCCATCCTGTGGAGTGCAACAAAGGCATCCGCGACAGGGATGATCGTCTTGCACAAGCTACGCATCGACACGGGCACGTAGCGTGATACTACAAAACCATCTCGCGAGGCCTGAAGGAGGGATCCACCGTGACCAACAACCGCGGCAAGTACATCCGCCGTCACAACGCGGTCCTGGATCTCCTCCGGCACATCCTCCAGCTTGGTATAATCCTCAAAGTGAGGATATGACAAGGTGGAGGCCGCCGCTACAGGAGCCGCCACACCCACAGCTTTGTTTGCAGCAGTAGCAGCAGCAACAGAAGAAGAGGCACTGTCTGTGCAACGCTTCAGCCACTCCGTTTCCAAGATGGCAATACTGATGGGGTCAGTGAAGCCTGCCTCAACAATAACAGCTCGCCGGTCAGTTGCATGCTGCACCTGCTGGAAGGAAACGGAGCGGGACTCCAAAGAAGTCACAAAATTCGCCCACAAATGTGTGGGCATAATTGTTTAATCTGCGATGCTGCCTCCACTGCCCCTTTTCCTGTTTATTTATTTATCTTTCCTCTGCCCGCTTACTCCAGCAGAAGACTATAAAGGTAGACCAGAAAACGACCCAGCCGCGATGATGCGTTGTGGCCCAAAGTCACGCGCAAAGAAAAACACCTACAACCGACAAGGAGGGAGTCCTATCTCGTACTGTCGGCCACAGCCCAGCGAGCGCAGCAGCCAACGCGTTCGCAGAAGAATACGTTCTTCGACAGTTGCCGCCCAATCAACCAGAAAATGAAAACAAAAAAGAAAGAGGTAAAATAGTATCAAAAATACTCCATGCAAGCTGGTCATTATGTGTCAACGGCCGATGCAGCTCAAAAACAAGACAAACAAAAAGAAAAATGTATGCATAAAATTTAAGCCTTGCAAGATCCTCGTGGTACCCACAAATGGTCGGCTCCTTTGGGCCTCTGTCTCCATCTCCCACCCAACGAACCACAACTCCGCGGCGGGACGGACCCTACGGGGTGGTTGTAAGCGCAGGAGCGGACTAGAAAGTTTTCACCAATTCCCTGTGGTGCATGAATCACAATTAATTCATTAAACCGCCAAAACGCAATCAACATCGCAATTCACATTCAGAGTAGACCACATCGAGAGAGAGCGTAATGAGCAACCCCACATCTCTCACCTTGTATCGTTATTTTATTTCACTTCTAGTTCACCTCGAAGACCATCACAATAACCATCAACAAGGACGGGATAAAAATGCATTGATGCCGTGGGCGGGAGGGAACAACACCACTTCGACACACCGCGGCAAGCAGCTGCTGATAGACTCAAATCCGCACATCAGCTGCGAGGAAAACAACCATAAAACAAACAAACAAAAAACAAGCATATCTTTTAAAGATCTAATGATCATGAATCTAAGTAACTTGTGAAGAGGAAACGATTTCACGATAAGAATGAAGAGATGAAGGACTTCTTACGCTTCATTTCCATGGCGCTCGCCACTTGATGGCACGCCTCACGCCACACCATTTCATCTGAGCGCAACAACAACATCACGTCACGCAATGTGACTTCCTCCTCTGATGCGTCTGACGTCTGTTGCTGTGTTCCCGTCGGGACCTCTTTAAGACCCTGATCAGGTCCAGCAAACTTGGTCGCATCCGCCGTGGAGGCCTTCACGTGCTTTAACTGATGCAGACCCCAATAGTCAATAGCCGCTTGCGGTACAGCCCGTTCACTCACCTTCCCAAAGTCGATGTCGTTAATCATGTGAGTCCAAATCACCACAGACTCCTCGCCAAGGTATCCCATCAGCCGAAACGCCATCCGCGGAGACACCAAAAAAAGAACGACAAAAACAGTGAAATGTACCACCTGTAAAAAAATTGCTGCAACACGCTCTACATATGTAATCTCGGTCATCTGCATAAGAATTTGGACATGACTCGCATGTGACTCCGCCTGCGCCAAAAGTCCACGTGTTTCTGTTGCAAAGCTCCCCTTCCTCGGAACGTACGCCGAATCTTCCTTTTTAAGCATCATTCGAAAATAGTTAACCATCGCACCAGCCAGAGGTGGGGCAGGGGCGACGACCTTCAACATTGTAGCACGGTGAAGATAACGCTCTCGAAAAAGTTTGTCCGCAAGCCACCGAAGCAGCTTCACTAAATAAATACAGCAGTGGTCACTGACACGCTGAGGTGGATGATGAGTTAATCGCTCGCTCTCTAACGTAGTGATGTCCGCCAACGCTGAGATGGGGGAAGCGAAGGTGAAGCGTGACGACGCGCCCATGAAGGGAAGGTACAAGGAGCTCCCATGAGACTTGTCGTCATCGATCCTCATGGCTGCTGGCGCCGTTGTTGTTGTTGCTGCCGCTGCTGCCTCGCCCGACTCCTCGCTCCTAGGGGCGGTTGACTTGGTACCACCACAACGCTTCGAAAGAAACAACGACACCGCGGGGGCCGTCGCTTGCACTATCGCAGCTCTGTCCACTGCTGAAACCGCTTTACGAAGGGTGATTATACGTCGTACGCCCAACATGCCGTTCTAAATTAAGTCGTTGTTTCTATTTCCTTGTTGCCCACACCAGACGCTGCTGATCACCTCTTGTTATCTGTTTTCCCCTTTGTTTCCTTTTGTTTTTCCTGTTCCTCCTCTTAATAAAGGATATCACGCCATTTTCGCCACCAGGCGCACACCGCATGAAAAATCACAGCACCGCAAGCAAAAAAAAAAAAAAGAACGAACAACAAAAAAAAATTATGTCCAGTTGCTGCACACACATGCGTGGTAGAGCCATTCACTGCGGAAGAGGGAATACCGAAACTGGGTACGAGGCATTGCCGCCAGAGGGTGTTCAAGCGACATCTGGATATACAGATGTATCCCACGTTTCTCCAAGCCCGCACATCGCACGTCAGATTCCTCAGTACTGCACGGGAAAATATACATGGCAAAACATATTTGCGCACAACCATGTATGTTGCATGCGGGTGCACACGCTTTCAAAGCAGCTACAACCGTAGGCCAGACATGAAGAAATGCAGGCAAGAAAGAGTAGCATCAAAAAAAAAAAGTATGTCACTCACACTTGAAAAGGGAAAAAAATAAAATAAAATGTGTATCCGCTCTCACAGCTCCTTCATTTACCTCCCAATGATCCTCCTCCCTTTCTTTTTCTCTCATATCTCTACCTCCCTCTTCATTGGGGCAAAAATGCGTGAAACGAACATGTGGAGAAAAAAGACGCAAAAAAAAAGGAAAAAACATCCTCTTTACTTCATATATATATATATATATCCAGCAGGCGTACACCGTGCAAACACATCCATTCTCTCCTTCTCTCCACTTCCTGCAGCATCTATTTTGCATCGGTTCGCCATCTTTCGTCCCGGCACCTCCTTCTACTCCTCGTTCCCCCGTCTTATTTTCATCACAATCCTCAGTGCCGCGCCAACAAAAAAAAAAAAAGAAAGCATAATAACAAATAAAAATAAAATAAAAAAGAAGCGAGTAAAATGTCACGGACAACTTAAAAAAAAACATGGCATGGCTCCGCACCAAACACCACTGCGAAGACTAAAAACAAAAACAAAAACTAAAGTGAAGAGAGACAAAAAGTGTGGTACGCACACACAAAAACACAGAGAAATAAAAACATCTAGGAATCACGTGCAATCATATAGGTTGCCAAATAAGCGCTGCACATAAATTCAGACAAGAGAAGCAATCACCAAACTAGAAAAAAAAAAAGGGTAGACAATCGCATATAAGCACATATTATATATACAACTCTTTCGACCCACTTAGGCGCAACTACTTCAACACACTCCTGCGCTCCCGTTCCTTCAGTCGCCGTGTCTTATGCTTTAGGTGACTTTTTCAAACGTTTTTGTCTTGTTTCTTTCGCTACCTCAGTAGCCTGGCCCTCTTAAGTTTAATATTATATATATATATATATATATATATATGCTTGTATTTTGTTTGCCGTGTTTCGCGTCTCTACTTCTTGTTCTCTCCCTTACGTGAGCAGGAAACACTCCTGTCCCTCCGTCACAGCTATTCGCAATTTCTCCTGCAACAAGGCCTTGCTGCTGTAGCTCGGCATCTTGAGGTAGTGTGCACAAGTGTTCACTGTCGGCAGCGATGCATCCATGCGAGTCTGCAAATCTCTAACAGCCCCCTCACTTAATAAGTCGTCTGAGAAAGCTACATGTTCCTCTGTTTCCTCCGCCGCTCCAAGTGTTCGGCGCACGACAGTTATGGGAGGTTGCATACCCCCGAGAGGAAGACGAGAGGAACCCGTTACAAAGCGCAGGAAGGCACGCTGCAATGAGGCATCCCAGCTGCTCACCACCTCCAGAAGAAAGGTGACAACGGGAGAATTCTTATCGTAACCGTGGGCAGCGATGATGTTTTGTTCAAGGTCTTCTGGTATCTTCCAAATCTTCCCGTCTGGTCCAGAGATTAGAAGCTGCAGCTCTTCAACACTGAAGAGTTCAAGGTAGGAGGGAATCACTGCATAGCGTAGTCCCTGTCTAAAGTGCATGATAGGTTCCACAAGAACTTTTCGAGTGTAATATTGCCGCACCGCGTTGACGTAGTCAGAAACATTGGCTCCACCAACACGTATAAAGGAGCCATTGGGGCAAAGTTCAATCGTCTCTCCCGCCGTGTGAGCATCAGAATTCGGCAAAACAAACGTCAAATCACAAGCAAGAAGTCCCTCCTCAGAGAGGGAACTCAACCACGTAAGGTGAACGTCCAACTCCGGATCAATGTCACGGAGCTGGTTCTCCTCAAGATTGCCCAGGATTCCTTGAATAAAGCAGCGGTGAAGAGGAAGGTCTACAGCACGCTCTTCCAGCAACACCCGCCCCACAAGTAAGCCCAAAAGTTCAAAATACGACAGCGATTTCGATGTCTGTTGCACCGCAGGAAACAGAGGTAGTTGCACGCGCCTAACAAAATTCCCATTTGATTCCATAAACGTTTCACTCCACCACATGTTGAGCTGCAGCTCTTGAAGCTGAGCGGCAAATAAGTTGTAAAACTCCCTTGCAGGCCCCGCACCAAAGCCATTTTCGTTTTCAAACTCCACACTCAACGGTAAAGGGCACATGGCGTGAGTCCGCAGCACAATAGAACCACTGCCCAAAAGGTTGTCCCGCTGTACTACCACCTTCTTTGCGCCGTGCATATTCACATCCGGCGTCACCCACTCCAAACCATGTATGGGGATCAACCACCCAGCCCCACGTAGTGCCTCCTTTAACCACAACGTCATCGTCGTTGGAGCTCGACGCACAAAAAAAACTAGTTGCAGTAACGCTCGTCTAACACTCAAACTAAACACCTGTGGAAAGTTCCACAGAATGTAACTGGCAAGGTGCTGATCCTTATCCTCATTCAGCGACGAGCAGAGAAAAGGAAACCAGACAACTGGCGGCAGCATGAATATACCAAGATAATTGTAAAACCCGTAGATGAGAGCACTACAGAGTCTTCCCTCTGCATAATTCACGGGAATCTTTGCTTGTAGCAAAACTTGCAACACCTCATTTAAGAGTTTAGCTGCAGACTTCAAAGAGGATTGTGTCTCCGCGCACCTTAACAGCTGTGTAAACTGCCTCTTTGGGGAACTCATAATGTTACTGTGCGCTCCGTCCTTTGTTGCGTCATCGAGATTTAGCGAAAAAGGCTCCTTCACTACAACATACTGAAGGGTATGTGTCATTGACCACAGTGCCATGACATGTTGCACCCCTCCCGTGGGAAACTGCTGACCACCACATTGAGGAATCTCCTCCGTGGAGGCAGCCGTTGCATCCACCGACCTCGTAGTAGAGTTGCAAAGAAGTTCCAATACTGAAACTGACGAGTCCATCACTGGATTGCCATTTCGGAAAAATACAATATTATTTAGTGAAATGGTGTATGTTGTATATTCAGCCGTATCAGACAACGATGAATTCCCAAAAGACGAATTATTTACAGGTGTATCCCCTTGGTGGAAATTTGTTAACGCTACCGCTGCCGCACCAAAATATTCTTCACTCACACAAGTATTCTCCTGAGATAAGTGTGCTGAACTTGTCACGGGGGAGCCGGTATTCCCTGAATTATCCGTGGTGTATGCGTTCATGTGTGTAAGGGACCGAAACAACAACGACTGCGATCCACCACTATCGTCCTCCTTAGGCACAGAAATACGAGAGTTATCCAAAGAATGCAAACCCTGTAGTAACTCACTGCTCTCTGGTGGACTTTGACTTCGTCTCCGTTTTACCTCCTGACCACGCGTCCCTGTCTCCGAGTATTTTTGCCGCAGCTGAAAAAGAATTTGCTTGGCTAGGTAACTCAACGGTGTCGTTGGGAGAACGCTAATGGCTTCTTGTGCCACACAAATGTCAACAACTGTGTACTTTTTACCAGCAATGAACACACTTCGCGTAGTCAAAGATGGTTGCCCAGCCTCTACATTAACCTCCAGTGACTCCAGTTTCACGCGTAAAGGAGACCATATGTAGTTTGTCATGGCCTGCATAATTTTGTTGCGTCGAAAACGCAGTTCCAGTCTTGCAGGTTGACGCTCAATAGGAGAAGCCTCTTCAACGTTCACTAGCCCTAAGTGTTGATTAATCACCCGAAGAAGTCCCTCTCTAACCTGCAAAAATACCTCCGCCAGATTTGCACTCAAAACAGTTTGACTCATGGAATCCCGCAGCTCACCCGCAAGTTGCTCCAAGAACTCAGGATGTTCATGCACAAGATAAGCGAGTTTGTTTTCACTCTCCAGCATGTATTCATTAATAGCAAGCACCTTTTGAAGCCCTGCATTAAGTTCCACATGCCTACACGCACGCATCATAATATCGGAAATGATAGAGCTCTGTGAGAAGCTTGACTCTTCTGTTGTCCCAATTATAGCATTCAGTTCAGAAGGGGGGGCAGGGTCAATCCTCAAAGTGAAACCATCCGAGGACTGTACGGGCAAAGTATTCAGCAATACATCTTCAGGGCCTTTGTATGCATTGGGCAAATCCCGAGATATGATCGAAATCACTTGCTCAATGAGTTTTTCATGCACTTCCTCAAAACCTTTCGTGGAACCATGAAAAGGGCACAGCGCAACTCCCCTGCTACCATACAATGAACTCTGAAGATCGCCACGATGCCGACTCACATGACCCCTTCTGTTTTCAAGCATTCGACGAAGAATAAGCCTCTCGTTCTCATTGAAGATAGACATCTCAGCACCATTGGCGTGTTGCAGTATCAAAAATGAACTCAACGTGCTCATTTGTATTTCACACCTTAACGTCATAGCTGGGAGCCGAGAGTTTTGGGTGAACCCAAATGATACTAGCGCGTGCAAAACACTCTGATTTGAATAATATTCCCTAAAAGGCTGCACAGTTGCCGTTAAAGATTGATTCGTGTTTGTTGTGGCCAAGTAAAACAATACAGTCCCTAGGCGAGAGCACAGGAGGTTAAACTGCTTACATAGAACGTTCCTGTTATTTGGGTGCGAGCTTTTGTTGTCCTCGCGAAAAAACTCCACTGTGAGATCCACATATCGAAGTATTAAAATGGAGCAGTGACGCGCGATAACGGTACTCACGGTTTCCTTGACAACAGAAGCCAAAATTGGAAGACAATACGATACTATCATTTTGATCATTTCTGCCTGTAGAAACTCTGCACGAGTAGCAGGATCACGCAAAAGCCCTTCACGGGCATTGCTAAATGCCTCACGGGAAAGAACATCCATTCTGGAATTCCCTTTCTTTTTCCGCCTGATCTCACCAGTTTTGTGCCCCAATTTCTCCCCAAAACCCGGAAAAAATATACAGCAAAAAAAGCATGTCTTTTCATCCGTCAAGCGCTCTGTTGTAGTGTCATTCAAACGACTCGTGCAGGGACTGCTAAGAGTTGGGGAAAGTTCCGTTCTATTTAATGCGATGGTGGGGCGTGTCCCCTGGTTAACGGCGTCGTTTAACCTTGTTGATGTTGGCATGAGAGGATTGTGCAAACGCTGGGACCTCGACCTTGGCATCTCAACTGGGTAGTCGCTCTGATGATGTGGAATGATGGCTGCATTCACCAAACCCATAAAATCGTTGTCCCCACAAGTACAATACATGACACGTCTGTGAACATAACCGGAGAGAAACGCATGACGACTAAGGCCATGTGGGTAAAAAGATACCTCATTCTTCATGTATTGCATGATGCTAAAGTCAAGCTTGAGGACGCGAGAGCCACGAGATACCTCATATGGTCTGAATGTCTTACACCTACGCTGGGTTTCGTACTCGCCCTCCAACTGCCTACTCAAACTGTCACTGCAATCGTTTCTGTTATGAAAGTCATCCTCGCATTGCCAAACAAAGTGCGGTAGTGTGACATAGTAGTCACTCTCACGGGCCGCCATGGCAGCTGGTGTGATTACTAGCAAAAACTCCAGCAAATGAATAATCTGCTGCTCCTCAGCCATAAAAGGGATGACGCTGACATCATTGTGGAAAAGGGCTTCCGCAATCCTCACGCCACTCCGTGCGAAGAGCCTCATCCTTTCCGCCAAGGCAGTCACAAGTTTGTAGACGGTGTGCAACACATCGTGCTTAAGAAACATTTTCACAGCTGTACAAGAATCGGTAAAGAAAAGAGTCAGAAACGTGGAGCAGACGGCGTTGCGAAAGGTAGAACCTTGTGCACCCATGGAGACAGTTCGCGCCAAAACCGTGACAAGCGTAGGCACGGAATGCTCCAGAATGGCAACATTCTTCAGAAGCTGATCTCGTGTGCACAATATCCGATCATATATGAAGGCAATGCACTCAATGAGATTCAGCATATACGCTCCATTCTCCTTCGACAACCGTTCCTCAGATTGATCTTTGCCGTCCCCCAATATATCCTTCACCTGTTGGCTAAATCGCAAAACAAGGGCGTTGCAAGGCGCTAAAAGATATTTGTTCCAATCCTTCAACCGTGCGGCCGCGAGGAGGTGACACAGACACTTTAGACACATCATACGCAGATGGTGCGTCCCCACCTTCGCCTCCAAGGAAGTGATGACCGAAACCGCGTGAGCGTGCACTACTTCCGTGTGTGCCTCAAGTGAGATGTGGCTAATACATTTTAGTACCTCCTCTAAAAGTGCTTCATTGTCATGGGTGTTAACTTCATTTAAAAGATGCAACAACGGTGGAACACCTTTCGCTGACGCAATCGCGAAACCACCGCGTGGTGCAATATCTGCCAGCAGTGCAAGAACCTGTACCACGAGGGAGCGTAGCCTACTAAAATCGTTTTGAGAAGCAATCGTAAGTGTCGACACCAGAACCTCCGCGTAGCGACCAGCATCGAGACTTCGGACAAATTCCTCGTCACCAAAACAGAGAGCAACGCAAACACGGTCCAATGCTACAAGCAGGCGCTCGAGTTTCTCCTCGGATATGCCGCGCTTGAGAGCGGTGAGGGCACTTTTGAGATCCCCAACCAATACAAGTGCCTTATCACGCTGCATTAATCCAGCAGAACCATCAGCTGCACTCATACTTTTGCAACTGTTTTCCTTTCAAATTTTCAAAAAGGAAGGGTAAAGCCTGTTTACTGAGCCTTTTTCCTGCGTAGCTGGTGCAGGTGCCGCAGCAGCTGCTTCCTCGCTCAGCAAAATGGGGGTCGCTGTCAGTTAAATGGATATATATATATATATATATATATGCTGCTATCGATGTTGCTAGAAGGGGAGGGAGACAATTTTTTGCAGAAAGGTTACACTAAGAGCAGATAAAATGCTACTATTGAAGCTGTTGAAATAAAGAGAAGGAGAAAGAAAGCAACGGAGGAGGAAGTGCAAACATGAAAGAAGTGGCCCTCCCATAGCCTCATCCACAAAAAAAAAAAAAACAATGTGGTGTGTGGGTGAGGGTGAAAGGAACACAGCGCCCCCTCGTTCCTTGGATTGCATTCGTTTATTTTTTCTGTTTCTCTGGCTCAATGCACTAAGTCACTCTAGTCCTTCCTCAGTTCCCATTTTGTTTTGCGTTGTGCGCTTCCTCATTTCCACATCTTTTTCAATGAGACATTTTTGTCCTGATCCTTGTGCATGATCTTCGCCACAGCGAGCTCAAAATCCTCTTGCGTGATATGCACGCGGCGCTCCCGCAGGGCAAACATCCCAGCCTCGGTGCAAACCGCCTTGATCTCGGCACCCGAGCAATGGTTTGTCTTCTCAGCAATACTTTTAAGATTGATCCCGCGTGTCAGATTCATCTTTCGCGAGTGAATCTTCAAAATTTCAAACCGCGCCGCCTCATCTGGTGCGGGGAACTCAATCTTTCGGTCAATACGCCCGGGACGCAGCAATGCCTCATCCAGAATGTCAATGCGGTTTGTAGCCATGATCACTTTAATGGATTGTGTCGACTCGAAGCCGTCAAGCTGGTTAAGGAGCTCAAGCATGGTACGCTGAACCTCACTATCGCCCCCGCGGCCGGTGTTTTCAAGACGCGAAGAACCAATGGAATCTATCTCATCCATGAAAATAATAGATGGACTGTGTTCACGCGCCATTACAAAAAGTTCACGAACAAGGCGCGCACCTTCACCAATGTACTTCTGCACCAGCTCCGCCCCGCTCACTCGAATAAAGGTGCAGTCCGTGTGATGTGCCACTGCCCGTGCGAGGAGTGTCTTGCCTGTACCTGGTGGACCGTAAAGCAGTACACCTTTCGGCTGAGCAATACCCAACGCCTCAAAGAGCTCTGGATGCTTTACAGGCAATTCAATAACCTCCTTGATTTCCTTCACCTGGCGGGAAAGCCCACCAATCTCGTCATATGTCGAGTCGCTACCCGCCTTCTCCACCTTCATCAGCGACACAAGGGGGTCAACTTTGGTGGGTAGAATGTAGTGGATGGCAAAGCTGGCGTTTCGTAGTGCCACACGCGTGTTGCGTGTGAGGTCCGCGATTTCGACAGTTTTTTCCACATCAACAATCAGTTTACCTTGATTGGAACTGACGTTCACAAGTACCTTGTTTTTTCCAAGCACCTGTACAACATCCGCAACGATGGAGCCACTTTCCTGCAGCATTTGCACTTCCTCCTTGAGGTGACGCACCCGCCTGTTGAGTTCATTCCGCTGGGACTCTAAACGAAGATAGTTGTCTTGAAAACGTTTTTCCTGCGCACGTAACTCCTGAATTTTCTGAAGAAAGTATGTGCTGACCGGGTCGTTTGGACTTCTAGAAGCGGTCGCAGCAGACGTCATTACTTTCTCCACTCTCTGCTTTCAAGGATTGTATTTTTCTCTTTTTCCGGCTTTTAGTATTGTTTGGTGGACTTTGTTACTGCTGGCACCCGTGGTGATCTTTTAGCGAACTATGCTGCCGTGTGTGTTACTCCCCTCCCGTTTGAAAGACGATAACCCCAATAGAAATTTCGAAGAACACCAAGCAACAAAAAAAAAAGAAATACCCTGCAGTTCTACACATACACAGATAAAAGCACGGGTACATGCGGCACGCACCTAAACGTCAGGGTGAAAAGACAGCCTCTTCCTCCTCAACTTCTCCACACAGGCACACATACGGTAAAGCTTGTATTCCGGTGGATTGAAACACGCAGTTACGCAGCGACAGGCACGGACACGCACCTCTGCTTAAGTCCATCGTGTTGATATTGTTGTACCATAACCGCAAGGAGAAATCATAGTAACAAAAAAGGATAGCATAACAAAAAAAAAATGTAAGGCACGTTGGTGATACAACTACAAAGAAAAACACGTAAAAAGGTCGTATATATATATATATAACCACATCTATTGAGTGCATCTAACTCCCCATAACCAAATGTGTGAGGGGGAAACAACTGATAATAAACGGAGGAATTCAACATGTATCCTCTTCTTTTCTCCCGGTAGACGTGAATAATCAGGTAGCACCGCAGCTTTTGTTGTTATCTTTGTTTTTGCTCCTTCTTTCAATCCCTCCCTTTCCTTAATGTTATATATATATATATACTCCGGTGGGCTTAGGCAAGGGCAACAACAACGACAAACAAGCAAACAAAGAAAAAAAAACATACCCTCCCTCCCCCCATCAATGCACACATTTTTTTTTTTCTTCTTATTCTTTCGCATAAGACCACATCTGTGTGATCCGTGCCTCCTTCTCGGATATTTCCATGGAAGATAAAACATACTTGCACCATTTCGTCATTAACGCTCGTGCTGGCAGCGACTGGGGAAGCGATTGCCACAGCTTGCGCTATCACCTCCACCTACATCTACGCGCCGAAACTTTCGGTGGGCCTCACGTGGCATTGTAAGCGACGTCGAGTTCGAGTTGACGGCATCGCGGTTCGCGTCCAATTCCCTTAAAAAACGCTTTCCTCGAAACAACTGCATCCCACTACCGACGCCCTTAAGATTCTCTCTCCCAGAGGGGGCGTCAGCCGTGTCGTCTAGGGCGCCCGTAAAGAGTAGCCTCTTTTGGATTGGAGACACGGCCACAACCAAGTGCGACAAATGATTGACAAGGTCAACAGAGTCCCCAGCCTCTTCAAGAGGTGTGATATGAGAGGGAGCTGAGGATTCACATGGGAATGAGACACTACTGCTGTCATGTAAAAAATCAAGGTTATGGTACAGGGCTGGCCTGCTGTTGTTGATGGGGGTTTCATCGGCATCGTTGTAAATGTACCTTTTCTCGCACCGCTGCTTGGTTGGTGCACCAGGATCGCTCAGCTGCAGAATTGTGTTTGTCGTTCGGTTTCGACAGCTCATTATGCTGCGTTGGCTGCAGTCACTTTCCTCATTTAGCCACTGGGACTCGCCCTGTGGGCGCCAAAGAGCGACCTCCCGCTCCTGTGTCAACCTGCCTTCCTCGGCAAATGAAGGAATAGGGTGAATAAGCAGTTCCTCCTCCTCCTCACCCTCGTCTGTCATGGTGGAGACAGGAAAGATGAAGGGTCGTAACGCCACGTGTGTTCTATGTCCCTCGCTTAAACAACCGTGATGTAAACCCACACACCCGCTAGGAAGAGCAAGACCTTTTTCCTCACAGGCGTTGGCTTCTCTCAACTGAGAAGGGAAGAAGGGTGAGCCTAGCTCTGACCGCCGCGTCGGAAGGACCTCTGCTGGGAATGAGTAAAGAGGACCTTCCGACTGGACGCCGCTCTGCATCTAGTAAGAAGAGGGCGGCAGCACTCTTAATGCTCCTGGACTTTATACTTGTATATTTATATATTATAATGCTGTGTGGCCCACGTCTGATTGGCAACAGACCCCATCGAAGCAAAAGACAGAAAAAAAAAAGGAAATAGTCATAATAACAGCAATAAGAATGATTATCAAAATATAGCTAAAATCAACTTCGTGATGTTTCATTTATGCCCACAAAGCGGGTTTAAATTAATATTTGACTCTTGCAGAAGCAATGCCCTCAGTATAAATATATATGAACATTTCACCTTCATGGATGAGTCGAAGACAAGAAAACTGTTTACCTACTTAAGTAAGCATGGAGGCTCAGTATCGAAAAGCAACAGCCGTTCAAGCCCAAGGAGAGGCTTTTGTTCACATTCTTCTTCAGTTGCTCCGGTCTCAAACATCTTTATTTTCGCTCTCAGTAAGCGGTGACCGGAGCTAGCGTAACGTGTTTTCTTTTCCTCTGCTGACACACTGTGTCTGCCTGGGGAGAAAGCGGCCACATTGGATAAAGCAGTTCCATCCAACATTGCATGGTGCTTGTTGCAATAAAGGTCACGAGTTCCTTTGCTGGCCGTCTGGTTGCGAGGACTGTCACTGGCCAATGGTGTCTGCCTTAAGCTGCTTCTTTTCAACGATGTGGGTGTGTTATTCTTTCTCCTACTTGATGAGACCTTCTGCTCTGTCTCAGCATTGTCTGGAGAATGAGGCGCATCGGGCGGTGACGGTGATGGGCGGTACTTAAGGCGTTCAGGGATTTTCTGCGCACACTGTGGCACGTGATTATAGGGAACCCTTGCGCTATGAAGCTTATCCACAACTTTCGAAACGTACGCGTACTCCGAAATGTTGCGCCTGGGGGGCGTCTCTAATTCAACCCTCTCAGGGCTTCGTTCAGTTCGCGATGAAGATGCCTTGGGGGCTACATTGGTCCGGCGCCGCACAACTGTGTGTGATGAACTGCGGAACGGCGTGGAGTTTTTAGACATGTTTAGACTCGACTTCTGCAAGCTGGAGTTGGAGGATCTGCGCGGCGTCACGAACCCGCTACCGCTATGAGCCGTGCTATAAAGACTCCTGCGAATAAGCGGTGACCAGCAAGTGGAAGCAGGCGCGATGCTCTCTAAGTGCTGCTTTTCTACAGGTCTTCCATACTGCGCATCAATAGGAGAAATCTTTTCCTCAATGAGATCCTTCACCACCGAATGGACATGACTGTAGCGCTTCGCAAACGGGTTAGCATGCCTTAACCCAGGACGACCCATAGGAGGTACAGAAGCATTTCGACTCCGCGACCGATCCAGGCCTCTTGCTGAAACGGCCGCATTCGACGTCGCCCTCGCCCCCTGCTTTGGCCTGCGGTGTGCAACCTCTTTTGGCGTCGATGCAAAAGGAGCCGATGCGCTCTGTGGTTTATCCACAATGACGCCTGCATCCTCTTCTCTGTGAGTCACAAGCTTTGGGTTGAGAACGACAGACAAGTTGCTGCCTCCGGCATTCAATACCCCATTCGCCTCGTCTAGCATTGCCTCCTCTGACACTGTTGTGGAGGCACGGACATGTGTGCCGGGGAGGGGAAACACACATGCGCAGCACGAGGGAGATAAAAAAAAAGTGTGGGAAGGAAGCAAGAATAAAAGTGAGGGTCAGGCAAAAGGGGCAGAGAATAGAAACTCGCACTCGTCCCCACTGGCACATAGAGAGAAAAACAGGGGAGCCCAACATGGACACGGAAAAGAGACATGCAGCAGCATTTCAGCAAACCCTGCAGGAGTGAATGTGGTGGAACGAGCCACGCAGCCAACAATGGGAAAGAATTTGGCCAAACACCGCCGTCACTATATCCTCCTCTTGCCACTTTTGGAACTAAGCGAGAAGAGAACAGTGAGCAGCCACAAACAAGCAACCAAGAACAAAAAAAAAAACATAATAATAAAAAAAGGATGTGAAAGAAAGGGCCCGGAGGAGGCGGAAGAAAGACCGCTAAAAAAAAAAATTACCGCACCAACCTTCTATATCCCACCACTACCGTCACTCGAACCAAATCATCGTTTACTACCCACCACCACCCTCTCAGCCCCTTCCCTGTCCCTCTCTTTCGTCTCTCCCGCGCCCTTACAGTTTCTCTCATGCACTCCGTCCCTCGCATATTTCCACTATCAACACTTTATCGATGACACTTCTACGCGGCAATGTGGCGAGTCACAAGAAAAGAACGGGGCAAAAGGGGTGAGGAAACTTTCCCAACAAGTACAAAAAGCAAAAAAAAAAAGGTGCACAAAGACACATACGCACATAAAAGCTGGTATAACTCAAAAGGCCTTCTCTGTGGTACCGCCCAACATCCAGTCAAGTGAGGAAGAAGCAAAAAAAAAAAAGAGAGACAAAAAAAAAAGAATAATAATTATTATTACAGAAGGAGACCAAAACAAGAAAGAAAAAAAAACAGGCATGGTTGTGTGCGAGAAGGAAGAGGTCAATGACCAGAGCGAAGGAAGAATAAAAGGAAACAACATAAAAAGCTACCGAGTCAAATATGAAATGATCCTCAAAAATTGGATAGGGAGCAACAAAGTGGGCATAAGAGGGTATTTCCCTGCAAATATTTGATGTGTCTGTGGAAGAAAGGTTCTTTGTTGTTGCTGTCATTTTAAACTACAATGTCCTCCCCCGTCCGCCCTTTGTAATTCGTGCCTGATTGCCTTGGCTGCTCCAAAAACGGCGTACATTGAAGCACGGATTGACGCCCATACACACCTGACAAAAAAAAAAAAAAAAACTTAAACGGCCTAAATACATGCGCACGTCCTGCATGTACCTTCTAGGTGTATATGGAAATTTTCCTCCTCGCCCTCAGAAATACCTGGTTAAAACATAAAAGGCCAGTCTACAACCCTAGCAGCTACACATTTCACATGCTCTCACTCGCATTATGAGCATTTCCTCCCTTTTTGTTTTGCTTTTGTCTCGTTTTTAATGTACTTCAGGGAATTAAAGAGTCCCATAGTACTCCTTAAATCCAACATCCCGTATATACATATATGAATACATTTGTATCTCGCAGCAGTAAAGGGGTGATTTTTTTCCTAAACATTACACTAAACGATGTGGGCTCACGCGACGCCCACGTGAGCGCGAGTGCGAGTGACTCTTCGGCGGGGTCCTCGTCCTTTCCCGCTCGTTAGGTGAGAAATTGATGTACCTATCATTTTCTCGACACCGTTTATCCTCCTCCGCCTCGGGGTCAAATGGAAGCTCTGGTGGAGGCCCAAAGTTTATGGTCAGCTCCGGCCCATATCTCTTTATAAGCGCCAGCAACCAGTCATGCAGTGAGAGGGGCCAGCGGGCGGACGCCACATCTCGCTCATACAGCCTAAAGTGAAAATCAAGTAAGGAGGCGGGATCGTAGGCTCTATAGAAAGACAAGATCCGTTTTTCATAGTAGCGGACGTACCCACGATGATATCGTCGCATCGCCGCTGAAGCAAATCGAAGTCGACGTGGGATGTGCTCAAAGGCAGGAGTGGTGATGTGTAACGTCATCTCACCCATGATGACGCCACTCTCGGTGCCCCCAACGCCCAAAGGTCCGCGTGCCATGGCAGTATAACGATAGGAACGAATAATAGGCACTCTCACTTCTTCACCAAGTTGGTACACCTGTTTGGTTAAAAGAGCTCTAAGAGACAAAACAACACGTGCCAACTCCTTCTCTGGCAAAATAAGGCGGTTGCTGATGGTATTCCGTTTCGACAACGGCGAAGTTGCCTGGATAGCTGGCATGGATGACCCATAAATGACAATTTCGAGCGGGCACGAACGTAGCGAGGACTCCGAACCCCGTGGAAGGGCAATGTCCAAGCGCATTTCCGGAAAGTATTTACGCGTATCAATTCGATTGGCCCATGCCACTTTTAAGTGCGATCGCACCTCCTCATTTAAAAAAGAGGCAAATAAAGAGATATTGCCGTTTTCTAGTGCGTTTTTGTCCTCCTCCTGAATCATATCAATTTTGTCAATATGAAGATAAAACGTAAAATCAACCGGATTGGGTGCAAACCGTTTCCGTAGCTCTTGATGAGCTTCCCTCAGTGAGGGGATTTGTGCTATAAGGGGTTGTACATGAAGAACTTGTGAACGGTATTTCTTCATCAATGAGGTTACATCCCTTGTAACTTCATCCAGTGCACTCCCCTCTGTGCCATTGTTTGGCTTACTATACACCGTCACAGTTCCCTTTACAAACCCTGGGGACTGTACCTCTACTTCTAGCACGCCAATCTCCTCATGACTCTCCTCATCAATGATAAACAGTGAGCAAGAATTGGGCTCATCTCGCACCATGTTGCGAAGGCTCATCTCAGCAACCCCTAATAAACGCGATGGACGCAGTCGTCGATGTTCACACACCTTAAACCGTAGCACAGAATGCAGCGGGTTTGAAATAGACACCGTCTTCTCATTTTTCATGTCAATATCAAACATCAACATCTTAGCCGCATGATGTTGTTTGGTGCGAAGCACCAAGGCATCGTCCAAGTACACCTTGACGTAACAAGAGCACATGGGAATAAAATCGCGTATACTCACAACGCGAATGTGCATGGGAGTAGACCCTGTTTCTGGACCGTATGTTTTTGTCAGTTCCTTGATAAGCCTCTCCTCTTGCTGCACGTTCTCACCAAGAAGATACTCCACACGATGCAGTTGAGCAGGATCGTAGCGAGATAAAAGTGCCTGCACACGCTGACGAAAGTAGTTTTGCTTATTCGGAGAACTCACCTCTTCTGTCAAGCCATATCCATGAAGAATTCCTTCAATAAAGAGCGTTCCCACCACCTTGGCATCTGTCGTTAAGGCATCTTGATACACTTGCAGCGAGAGTCGAAAAATAGTCTCTCGAACTATATTATTAAGAGATATGACGACCCGTCCAATTTCTACATCGTTGGCCTCTGCCTCATCAATTACCATAAAAAGAAGTTCCCCCTTCTCTGCTGTGGAGATGGAAAGCATCGTCTCATCATTAAAGATAAAATCTTGTGAGAAGTGCACCCCGGCTGTTTGATAAATTTCAGGGCCCATACGAACAACTACGGCATACGTTTTAAATTGATCTTCCTTGATATCGCGACGAAAGTGTTGAATCCGAAGTTGCATCGTGTGTGGATGGGGTTCAGGCCCATACTCCCGCACCAACGTCTGCATGAACGCATCCATGTTGTCAATAGATGCTACAATGGGGTCGAGACGATGTAAATCGTCTCGAAGGTACTTCCACAAGTAGTTCCTTAGACGAGTGCGTCTCTGTTTGTCCTCCATATCGCTCACAGGTGAATCCGTGCCGTAATTGATAGGACAGAGAACAATTGTAATGGTTCCACAGTAGCAAGCATCCCCGGTTCCTGCGGCGTAGACAATGTCATGTGTGCGTTCCTTTGGTAGCCGCGGGCGTAAGCCATTCAATGATACAAGACACTCGCCAAATTTGTGATTGGCGGAGTAGACAGCAAAAGAAATGGCATCGTCCCTGGGGTTATCTATTGCCATATCAAAAGTCTCGTTGAAAAGTGCTCGCCTGTGGTACGGCACCATTTTGGTAACTTTTTTTGAACGACTTGAGGTAACCCTTACATAGCACGTCTCACGTGTGGTGGGGGACCCATTTTCCATCGTCAAATTGGCGACAGATTTGATGGTGAGCTGAAATGCTGCAGGACCATGGTGAGGTTTGTGATACCTCTCAAACAGCATCGCATAGGCTCCATCATAGTCTTTTACGCACTTGCCGACGTACCACTCAAGACGGTGAAGCTCCTCAGGGGCATCTCTTTGAAGTAGCACGCGAAGGTTTTCACGAAATTCCTGCTCCTTGAGCGGGGAGGAATACACGCTCGTCCCGAAGGTCTCTGTGTACAGGGCAACCAATATCATGCCAGACTCATATGCTCGTTCCGTGCCCGGGTAACGTACCAGCGCCACCCACTGACGTCGCTCCATTCCCCGCATGAGGTTTTCCACCGCCAACGCACACTGACCTAGTTTTTTGCGTCCTGAGCTCGTCACAGCAACCACAGTGACCTGTAATTTCCTCCCTGTCAGGGTTGCTTACTTCAAAGATAAACTCATCATTGAACGGGGGATTAGCGTTGTTATATATAATAGGCGTTTTCCCCCGACCATACGTCGTTTGAACTGTAACAAATGCCGATGGTGGGGTTTGCATCACGCGGGAATGAGGAATCAGCCCCTTGGCACCCTCAATACGCACTCGCAGTTCCATTTTGCGCCTGTTATTGAAGTGTCTGTAGTTCGACTCCAATGGAGCCACAGTAGACGAGTGGTACTCATCGCCATCAGACATCTGTTCAGGCCGGCGCGAGCTCCCCACGGCATTTGGGGGCAATGTGTCATTGTAATGAAAGGGTTCATGTTCCTGGTGGCCATTGCTCTGGCGAGGGCGACGGCGGGGCGATCGGCCACTAGAGAGATCACCACACCGCCGTGAGGACGAATGCAGTGCCCGCTCCGGGCGCGGTAATCTTCGCGGAGAGTCTTGCCACGACGATGATGATGAACTCCTTGAGCAATAGCCAGTAGGGGTGTTTCTAGTGCTCATCTACCCCGTAAGACAACACAAACGTTTTCTTTACCAACTTACTGCCTCTCTCGCTCTTCACTTAGTTGTTGTTGTTGTTTTTTCGCTTTCTTTCACTTGTCTGCCAGTGTGTCTTTCCGCAGGGCTGTTCCCTTTGCTCTTCCCTTTACCTCCTCGGAGATCGGTCAAAATAATGTCACACAACGACGCGTACACGCCACGTTGGAAGATCTCAAACACGCAGTAAACCACGCCTCGCCTCACAAAGTTGCTCGCTCCTTCCCTCCCCTTTTTAGTTGGGAGGAGTGACTTTGCCGCTGCTGTTGCTTTCGCCTTCGTGTGCCTCTTCGTGATAGTGACAGTGCTATTGTTCCGCTTCTTCAACGCAGCACTGGCGCTCCGCCACGGATGAGCAGTGAAAAAAAAGAAAAAAAAGTACTTGACAGGTCGTGCTGCCGAATCTATGGGCTCCGTCACACGTCAGTCTGTTAGGCATGCAGGCACAAGGAGTATCGGGGAAAAAAGGCACGAGGACCAGCACCACAAAGGAAAAGAAAAAGAAAAAGACAATCCGCAAAGCATGCACAACATTAGCATCAAAAGCGGAAACGAACGGACTTAACTCCAAGCATCAACACATCCCAGAACACATGCAATCCACACACACAAGTTATGCATGAAAATGTAAAGGAAAATGCTACTGCAGGAAAGAAGAATTAGAGAAAAAAAGAGGGGGAAAAAAGGGGGATAAAAACAAACATAGAAGTAACAATTTTTTGAGTATTTCTACATTGTCAAGAATGGTGGGGATGGGAATGAATCCACCTCAGGCCCCCATCGCTCGATCAACGAGCAAAGGAGGTTAGGCAAGTCCACCTCCCATGTGCGTCTTGCAACATAAACTTCATACACGACTTTATGAATGTCCATTAGTGAATTCGCATCATAATGCGTAAGTAGAGAACAGATTCGATCAAGATAATAGCGCACAAAGGCACTGTTTACATTCGGTGTGCCACCGTCAAAAAGAAGCACCGCCCTTGGATAATGTTCAAACGCAGGAGCCTTAAGGGAAAAGGTCAGAGTACCGGCCAGGCATGCCTGCACATTGTTGCGCTGCCGCTGGATCTTCACAAGCATCACGGTGACCGCCTCGCCCATGTCATACAGCTCAGGGGTCAGCAACGCACGAAGAGAGAGGGCGGCGCAGCACAATTCCCCTTCCCCGTCATCACCGCCCTCGCCATAAATTCGAAAAAGTAATGCGCCACACGATGTGATGTCAATACGCAAGGGGGGATAGTCAAACACCCGATTTGTGGAGGAAGTCGTATCAGAGGCCACACGTACCACAAGCTTGCGCTCCAAGACGCGCACAACATCCTCATTTACGACGGTCTCAACTGTGAGATGCCCTTTCACGGGATTCAACAACTTTGTCCTGTGCACCTCACAGTACACAGTTGCCCGCACCTGGGGTGCCAAAAGCTGCCTAAGCTGGCTATGAATGGTACGAAGGTCATCCGCGCGATCCAGGACAACATCCAACTTTCGAAGGTCCTTTGGGCTGTACTTTAGCAACAAAGAAGAGACATCATCAACGATGGCCTCAACCTGATTCAGGTCTTGATCATTACGCAATGGGGAACGTCTCTCAAAAGAGGCAGGGACTTCAACCTGTATTCCCAATTTACCAAGGGGTTCCCCTTTTGAGTCAAATAGGCGAAGCCACTTCCTCAGTACCCCTCCACTAGGACACTGGGCAATCATAAAGTCACAGGAACATAGCACACACGACTTTAGCAGCTTCACAACTGCCAACTTCAACGTTATAATTGAATTCTCAATATCTACAGAAGAATCAATTGTAAATTCCTTATTGATACGTGCCAGGTGTTCCCCTGCAAGGGTGCTTGTGCGAAGAAGTGTCCTACCATTACCTAATTTAACCTTAATGTACGCCTTGTCCCCAGGAAAATCGTGCAGCCCAAGCAACCTAACGCAAACATAGGAACTAGACGAGGCTTCAGCGCTCTGAGACGCAATTATCATTGCTGAATTTTGCACATGCTCATTCTGTTCTTGTGACGCCGCGATAATTGAGGGTAAACGATGCATCTCCCTTGGATAGCGACGCAGAATCTCCCGTTCCAGACGTTGGTAGATGCTGTTCTCCACAAAGTCTATCTGCTGCTCCGTGAGAGCGCCAAAGTCGCGGGTAAAAAGTGAAACTTCAATGAAGCCAAGAAATGAGGCACCTCGAGCCTGCGCCTTGTACACTAGTGGGAGTTTCAGGTGTGTCTCCTTCCCCCGAACAATATTATTGAGTGGGAGGGCCGTTCTCCCCACTTCAACTCCTGTCGCACCCCTCTCCCCCACCGCCTTCACAATCAACTTAACCTCTTCCTTCTCCGGTAAACCAATAAGAACATCAAAATGCTCTAAAAATACGTATTCCCCACTCCCCTGGACAATATTCGTCCTGAAATGCGAGAGACCAACTTGAATAATGCAATACAGTGAACCACTCTTAACAACAGGGGATCGGCAACGAATCACCTCTACTTGAAGGTGATAGCTGCCTGGTTCTTTACCATACCTCTCCGTGAGTCGTTGAATATACGCCTCCACATTAAAGATTCCACTGTATTTCACGTCCACCATATGAAGCTGTTCACGAAGGTAGTAATAGTAGTAGTCTCGCAAGCGCACGTACTGACTATCGTCACTCTTGTCCATTGGTGAGACTAAAGTCCCAAAATTGTCGCTAAGAAGTGAAATTGTGATGTAACCAACAGGAGTCGCCGTGAGAAAGCCTGGATTTTTCACAATAAAATGCGTTCGCTCTTGTACCACATTCTGGTGCAAGTCCAGCAGTGACAACTCACACGCACCACAGTTGTGCTTCCCATCGATATCGACATTCACTGTGATTCGCAGCGTCCGCTTCGTTGGATGCAAAATCGTCAGGCAACACTCCTCCTCAATGGTGAAACACCCATTCGCTGCTAGCACAGCCCTTGTACGGTGGAGCGTCTTTCGCCCAACCTTTACCTTCACGAAGCACGCGCCAGAGACGACAAGTTTGTCATTCAAGTACAATTGTGTCACACTCTTCACCTTGAGTTTGACGTTGGCCGCCACCTCTTCCTCATCCGTTGTGTTGCGCATGGTAAATATTTTTTCCAGCAACTCATTCTCGCGCAGAGAGTACTCACCAATATACCACTGAACGCGATGCAGCTGCTGCGGAGCCTGACTCGCAAGCATTTTGCGTAGTAAGCAGCTAAATCGATTCTCAGCATCGATGGAGGGCATGTGGTCCAAACCAAAATTTTCCCCAAGAAGTGTGAGACAAATAGTGCCACGTTCCATTGCCGAGGGTCGATGCGGCATCACCACCAATGGCACCCGCCGCGTGCGTGGGGTCCTGTTTTGTACATTTTTCATGGATAACATGCAGTGCCCCAAACACTTCTTCCCGTAGCAAGTTTCCGTGATGACAGTGATACTGAGGTAATCACGAGCAGGATCAGTAATAGGGAAAACAAGCATCTCATTGTACTTTGGGGACCGCGTAAGGAAGGCAGTTTTCGTACGGTGCGTCTTTTCAAGTGTTGAAAGCATCACGTATGGGCTTGGCGGAATCCGGCGTTTGTCGTCCAGGTCCTCACAGTACAACACTCGTACGTACAGCTGCATCTGATTATTTGACGAGAACGTCCGTGTTAGCAGCGGTGAACTTGCCTCTGTCAAAATCTCTCCCTGTTTTTGTGTCAAGAAGAGCGTCAGAGAAGGTGTCTGCGTGAGCTCCAGCCTTGATGCGGAACAAAATTCATTAACAGAATGAATACTATCGTCGATGATGTTCATACTTGTCTGAACGGAGGATTCCTGATCGCTGCTCACCCCCGAGCCATCATCGCTGATTACAAAGGAACTATTGTTTGAAGTTCTCCAACGTGGGAAAACATTTGCCGTCACACGTGCAAATGTATTGCGCCAAATGCCAAGGCGGGAAAAAATATTACCACGACGTCCAGCTCTGTCTGCATACGAAATAGAAGTGTTCTGTGAACGTAGGCGATGGTGCGAACGATCCTCTAATGACTTTTTCTTCACACCGTCGATGTGTCTCTTGTCACGCAGGTGAAGATTCCTCACTGTATACTTTACACCAACAATTCCGGCAACCCCACTGTTGTCTGGCTTCTGCAGTGGCAGCCATTGGTGGTACTGTTTCTCCAGCTCTATTGTGTTGAGGGGAATCGTCACGCGCCCCACCTCTCTGTCATCACTGAGGTCGTATTGATCCATCACAACGATCGTGATGGGATTCTCAGAAAGTCTATCAATGACAAACTCAAAAAACTCAAAAAAGTCAGGCTCGGTACTATTCCTCACCACATGCGTTTCATACCTTTTAATCCCCATACGCACCACGACATATGCTTTCATGCTAAACCCCAAGCGGTTCGAGAGTTGGCGGCATCCTAAAATTGAACAATACACCGCATACGAGGCGTCCTCCTCGCCGTACTCCTTGGCGACGTCTGTAAGGAAACCTTCAATGTCAAACACCGTGTCAACGACAATGTCCACAAGGTGAAGCTTCTCTGGAGCTCTCAGATGCAGATACCTTCGAAGGCGTCCAGCATACATGCGTATTGCATGCGTGTCCACAGAATACGCCTGGCCTAATTGCTCACTGTAGAGTGAAACACCAATCAAACCGCTAAGGTAGGCGTCATTTGTGCCTGCATTCCCAACCAAATACAGTGTGCGGTTGTTACGAACCCCACGCTGCATCCATAGACAAGAGAAATCAATGCAACCATACACAATATTTTCGTGGCCTGCCTGCACCACTTCCAACTTGATCATGTCTGTCTCCCGCGCCACATCAAGAACAAAGGTCTCTCCAAATACTGTTCGGGAGTTTACAACCACACGTTTTGGGTCCGTGCGCAGTACCTGGTCGCCCATCGAGACCACAACAATCACGTTTCGTTCACCAAGCTCTGATATGGCGTCAAGCTGCAACGAACTCACTTCCAAGACGGAGATCCATAGTTCCATGGTGCCTGGCTCCCTACCGTACTCAATTTCCAGTTCATTCATCAATTCATCCAGTCCATTCAGACGAGACCGGAGAAGCATATCCACCTGAGGAATGCGTTTATGGTCATAGCGGTAAAAGAAACGATTCAGTCGCTCATGAAATCGATCGATGTACTCTTTCATTTGCATCGTCGGCGATAAACCGAAGTTGTGCGGCCTCAATAGAAGATGCACCATGCCCTTGATGGACGGCTCAAAGGATGGTTTTCGATCAAATAAAAATATCTGTCGCGCCGATGCACAGTTGCAAGTAAGCGCGGAAACAGACACCTGTGCCAATGCCACCTCCTCCCACCCCAATGTTGTGGAGACCTGATATAGTATGATGTCTAACGCAAAGGTTTCGGGGTCAACCACGTCAAACTGTGTTGTACTATCCGCGCCACCCCAAACTGGATTTGGGGTAAAAAGACGCTGCGGCGTTGCAAAATCCTGAAGTGGACTGCGTATAGCTATAACTGCATATGAGGGCAAATACAGCGTGGGTCGATCAAGCCCTGTACAGCCATCAACAAGCAGGGATAGCGTATACGTTGGTTCTTCTTTACAGTGATACTTGGCACACAATGTTTCCATCAATTCCCAAAACGTCGCATAGGAATCACTTAGCAGCGATTGCCTGGGATTCACTCCCAATAAGGTGTTTGACGTACGTGGCCTTGCGGTCGCCGACAGGCCCTTTATAGATGACATTAGTAAATCAATATCCCCCAAAAGGCTCTTATCGCACCGCAGCAGAAAGCGTAGGAGCCTTTGTACGCAATCCTTCTCCTCATTCTTATCTAGAACAGGGATCATACCGCCTTGGATGTCAGTCATCAGCGTAATGGTGACTGCGCCTGCTAATCCGGTTCCGTCCTTTGCAGCTAAGAAATACTGAGATGTCTGTTTTTGACCCTGTAGCAACCTTTCAATGGAAAGGCGGCAACTTCCAAGAAGATGCTCATCCTCAACACTGCTTCCTGGCCCAAGGCAATGGTAGGCCTGCAGCTCAACTATAGCCAGACGGTGGGTGTTCCCCACGGTGAAGGTTTCATTAAACTTCGGGGTGCGCGTGTACTTTTTACTTCGGGTGTGGAACTTGTACACATCGTCAACGACGACGCGTATGCGTGGATTCAGTGTGGGAAGGCCGGGCGAGTGTAGCAGACGGCAGTCACGCACCTTGATAGTCAACCGTCCCATTGGGAAGGCAAAATAACGCTAATATATGCTCCAAACAAGGTAAAACGTTAAAAGCAATAATAACAATAAATTTATGCTGTGTTAAACTTGAGAAATAAATAAGCACGCCAGCCGCTTCAATAGCGACGTCGCGCGGGAGCCCCCACTTAATGCAGGCAAATCCCTAAACCTCTACAATCCATTACCAGCAATGGCGGGAGGCCGAAGCAGTCACTCACAAGCGGACAAGAAGAATAACGGGGAGGAAAGTCTAAAAAAGCACAAATACACATCATCCACAAGCATGTAAAGAATAGCGTTCCCCTCCCTCTCCCAAGAAGAAAGGTGAGTCAGGAGTACAAAAATAAATAAATTAAATAGCACCAAGAGTTCTCCCTCGCCTCAGCACTATACAGATCGTATGTTACCCATCAGACATAGAAGAAAAAATAATTAGCAAATTCTTTCCCCCTCTTTCTTTCTCTCTCTCTCTCTGGTGTTGTTTACTCGAGGCCACGACTGCGTGCCACGTGCCACTGGAAACACACAAAAAGGGTCAAAAAAAGCAACAGCTGTGCACGCTAGCGAGGCGTGCTCACGTGCTTCCTCAGGAGTTGAATCATCTCCAGCTCAGAGTTCAATGACAGCTGTAGCAGGTTTTTGCGTTCATTGTGTGAAGCCTCCGCAAGGTACACTTCTGCAGCGGCCAACTGCGCATTGGCCGCCTCTGCTCGCATGTCAAGCACCCTCAACACCAGCGCCACCAGCTCTGGCGTCCGCACCGCCTGCCACTCACGGTTGATCGAGTGGGTTAAGCTATCAAACTTCGACGCCTCTACAGTCATGAGGTAAAAGACGTTAAACATGGTTTGGACATCCTTTGCGACTGCCGCCGCGGCAGAAGCAGCCAGCTTGTCGCCCTCAACTTCAGCGTGAGGCAGCCGCAAGACATAAAATCCCTCATCACATAGGATGCCGAGACGCTGCAACCATTCTATGCGTCGCCGGATCACTCCCGAATCTACCGCAGTAGAAGTAGACGACTCCAAGTCAATCGAGATGAGAGCCAACGCCATTTCCGTGATGACATCCACAGAAAAGCGCAGCATGTCTTCCCTCGTAGTGGATTCAGTGATAAATTGAAACTCCACCGCAAACCTCGACGCGCCAATTCGCCCATACGAACAAAACACCTGCTCCCCGCGGCACAGTTCACGGGCCGCGACAACACAAAACTCCATGGGGTGTTTGCGTCCTCCTCCCCGAATCTCAAGCGTTGCGTTTGCGGTGGTGGAGTGATTGATGATGTCCAGGCAAGGGAGAAGGTAAGGTCCCTCGCGCCCCGCAATCTCCTCGCGGTGAAAGTTGCGCGAGAAGACCTGCGCCAGGCACTCACAAAAAAGCTCAAACGTCGCGCTTTCCCGCGGCCAATACTCTGGATAACGCCGTATTACCTCCTGTGCCGCACCCCACCGTACCGCTACATTTACCTCACGCAGCTGCTGTGACGGCCCTGTCCATGACAACAGAGCAGCTGTCGTCGGCGCCGCCGCGAAGTCCGTGCTCGCCGTCATCCCAAACACAGGCCCAGCTACCATCATATCAAAAAAATGGTTTGACATGCGTGGACAGGCCTTCAACCACGGCATCCACGGCGACGAAGGCCGCACAGCTTCCGCCATAAGTCGCAGAACAACAAAAAGGACATTGTCTGTGAGGTGCATTTCCACAAGTGCTTTTACACACGGCGACTCGAAGGTGGCCTGCTCTGTATAGGGAGAGATGCAAGTCGCAAATGGACAACTGGCAATGACGGAGCCTGCGCTCAACGGCTTACGTGCAAATACGCCAAATCCCATCGTCTTTGTGGGAACAAGGAAAGCGACATCGGGATGAAGAAATATGCCTCGCCTCTTTGCCCACTTCCTTAAGACCTCTGGGGAGTGGTCGGCACCGAAGCAAATACTCATCGGAAACTTGTGGCATTTTCAAATGCAGAGATGCGCACATCAAAACGGCAACATATTTAAAGAAAAGAAAGATAAAAGAAGAGAAACTGATACTGCAACCGCGGATTTGTTTTGTCAATCTAATGCACCCCACTCGGCGCGGTGCACCATCTTTACCTCTCTCTCTCTCTCTCTCGCACTACTTCCAC